TTCGAATAGTTTCGGATATAGGCAGCTTAAATTGTTTTTGTATAGCATTATATGTAAAGGCATAACAGCCTGATTTACCTTTATAATGCCATCTAGTATCAATTTTTTATATTTTATTACTTTTTATTCGATGTAAAGTGTGCGGCCATGAATTAACGGTGTTGGACAACTATTGCAAATTGTATTCTAAAGCACAGATATCCGTAACCATAACTGAAACTTACGTATATCCGAAATAAAAATATATCTGTAACCGTAACCGTACCCATAACATCCCTACCATAATGTATGAACTTAGAAAGAAAAATTGGGATAAATGGGTATCATGAGATGTTAGGCTGACATACTCGTAGGTATATCAATAAAATCAAAAATATTATTGTGATTTTTGGACTCTCTTTTACGTATTTTTATCTATTAACAATCTTCTATTAGTTACTAAGTATTTACCTCAAAGCAAACTATAATTTAATTGGAAGATCTACTCAAGACCGTCTTAAACCGTCGTCGCCTTAAGCTCTCAGTGCTTTTCTGGTAATTGCGACGTCGCACGGAGGCCGAATACATTGTGTGAGCAAATTGAGTACGTATTGAGGGCCTGTGTTCGGCATGGAGGACCCTTCGTCAACACGCGGTTGCTGTAAGGTTAAAGTAAGCCCACTCTCCTCGTACAATGAGATTGTTTTCTACGAGTAAACCTACTGATTTTGTTATGTGACTACCTGTCTGTTTTTTAAGTATCTGTCAGGTTTTCACGCTTATTCATCTGCAATGATTAATGCCTGTTTTCACCATAAAACCCTAAATTTTAAGTGACCCCTATGATAATACATAAGAGGAATTTGGTTTTCATAAGGGTCACTTAAATATTAGGGATTGATGGTGAAAACGGGCATAAGATTTTTAGTTTAAGGCTTTGTGAAGGTGAAGAAAAGGAAAAGTATAAGATGGGAGATATTGAAACTAAGTTTTCACGCTTATCTGGGAGGATTTAGATAAACTTTAGTTTGAGACTGAGAAGGTTATGTAGGGTTTTGTGACTTTGAATTCAAATTCAATACGTTTATTGCATGCACCATTACAATACATGTATTCATTGGAATAAGAGCTTGCGTTCTGATTCTGAAACAGGCTAAGCTTCGGTTGTCTGATTCCAACTGATTATGAGTTAAATCAGACACCTCTTGCTGCTTATACATTCGGTTAATTCATCTCAAATTGTTAATTAAAGCCACACGGTAGAAGAATAAGATCATCCTGTGTATACTTAGGCCCGGTTTTTTGATTCGTAGTTAAAATAACCAATAGTCAAATTTGACAGATGTCAAATGACAAGTGGTTAAATATCAGAAAAAAATGTTTTTCGAACAATGGTTAGCTTGACTTTTAGTACATTTTTTAACTATTAGTTAACATTTCGTTAATATTTAACCATTAGTAGCAAAATTTAACAATTTGTTATTTTAACTATGAATCAAAAAACTGGGCCTTAGTCTCAAATCATTCGTTCGTTTCAGCCAAATGACGTCCACTGCTGGACAAAGGCCTCCCCCAAGGATGTCCACAACGACCGGTCGTTGCGACGCATCCAGGCACCTCCCGCGACCTTCACCAGTGTCAAAACATGTCATTATTATGATGTCCAATTTGATGCTATTAAGTTGGGTCTAATTCCTCTCGTTGATTAATTGTTTCGTTCCAATTTGTACTGTTTATTTTTACCATTTTGATTTAAACGGTCTCCTTCCTCCTATTGATATAACCTCACGGAGCTGGCTCGTCGCTATTTGACGTAAATTGAGTAACGAAAAAGTAAATTGACATTAAAAAATTAGGACCTTTTAAGGGTCTAACGAAGTTGAAGACAATGAACAGGCCTTCAATTAATTTTAATAAGCATATTTGCATTTTTTATTACGTTGATGAGAACAAAAAGTAATTGTTCCCGTTTTGGCTGTGCTTTGTTTCATTAGTGTCGAGACGTTGTTTTTAAAAATTACCTGTTAAAAATCGAATTTTTGTAATTTCAAAACTTGTCATTTTTGACATGAATTGGAAAATGCGACTGTAACGTGTGATTTTTTTGTAGAGTGTAGGTGGCCCGACGAACATCATACCGCCTAATGGATTAATGTGTGACATGAGGTGTCAATTACGGAAAATGGCGAAGTTATTACATTTACACATTACTTAAATTATCAAAGTTTTCATACGGATCCCTAACTTTTTTGAAAATAATCCATCGCCTATGTTCATCAGGGATTGAAGGAGATTGCAGTGGATTGAACTGCTAAAATTGATTAAGCGAATTATAAAACTGAAATAGCTTTTTAAAATTAATTTTAAAACTTTTCATATCCCTAACACTATCAACGTTCTAAAGTTGGTTGACTCGACACCATAGTGTTGTGGCCTTCCGGGTTCTTACCTAATCTAACTTTCGTAGTTGACAGCAGTTGTCATTGTTGGCGCAAACAATATAATCGCCGAGTGTTCTTGTTGTTTTACTATTTTACCGCGGGACTCTGGGGACATACACTACAGGGTGTTAGTTTTCATCCTTGGCATTATGGAAGCAAATGCGGTTCATAATGAGAGCGAAGCAGAACGTTCCTTTGCATAAAACCAAAAATCAAAATCAAAAAACTTACATTATCTTTATTTGTTTGGATTAATTAGGTACACATACATTAATACCTGAAAATCGTCTTTAGCTCTTGCTTTTGTCTCACTATGTATAAGCGCCCTGAAAAGAGTCAAAGTCTGGGTTGCACCATCTTACTTTAACTTTGACAAACGTCAAAAATCTGTCAAACTCCATACAAAAAACACCGGTCATCGTCAAAGTTACGGTCAAAGTTAGGTGGTGCAACTCAGCCTAAGTACTGAATAAAAACGTTGACTTTGAAACAATAATTTCTGTTGCACGCCATTTTCAAAGTAAAATCATTGGCCAAAAATTACCTTATGGACCTAAATCACCTGCCAGGTGTAAACGTCTACAGCTCAATACCGATTCGCGTGAAAAAGTAAACGGAACGCCAGTAATGCCAACTTGCAAAAATCAGACACGCGAGATAAAAACCGTTAACGAGTTCAAATAACGAATGTCTAATCAAGCTCCTTCCAATTGCGAATCTCCTTCAACATTTAATTGAATTCTCTTTATGCGAGCGAAGCCACTCTGCAAACAAAACTTAGATTAGTTTGCGTACGAAGCTTAGCTATTTTAACGGAATTTTTAATGTTCACAAGACGACAGTAACTATAGGTTGCGATTAAGTTAAAGTATTGCGTGATTACTTAGACCTAAATTAGGCAGGTAATGAGATACCTACAACTACATAGATGCAATTATGAACAGAAAAAAACACAATAAGCTTCTTCGACAGGATTCAGGTCCCCAACTAAATAGTTACAACTGTGTTACAACTTCTCTAAAAAAATCATACGTACACACATAGTGACGTCAAATTGACTAAAATAGAATTAAAAAAACGTCATTATTCTAACGATTGTAGATAATAAATAAAAAAACTTCTTTTTAATTTTACTTAAACCAATTCCAGGTTTTAATCTCCATAACTTGCCTGTTACAAGAATTGCGAGAGTTTTATTCGAAAACATAGACATTTATTCCGTTGCTTGTGTAATTTCACAGATGGCGTCTCTTCGCAGATGAATTCTTTTAGTATTTGTTTTAGAGCTGGCTCCGACGGCATGTGTGTCATTTGTTAAGACGCCTCCAATTCGGTGAGTGGTAGTTTAATTTTAGAAGCCTATTATGGGTTATTGTAACAAAAGGGAACATTTCTAGATATGTAACATCAGTTATGAATTTAGAGTAGGTCTCTTATGGATATGTAGTTTAGGTTATGGATACGGTTACGGATATAGGAATATTATTATACCGGTTTCGGTTACGGTGACGGATATTTCTTTATTTCGGATATCCGAAAGTTTCGGTTACGGTTACGGATCCATAACATCCCTGATTTAGAGCGAAACTGTAGAAAGTAATATGAAAACGGGCGGGGCACATAGCTCGCAGAGCTGATGGACTGATGGCAGAAAAGTTCTCCAGTGGCGACCATGAGCCAGAAGACGTAGTGTGGGCAGGCCTCCCACTAGGTGGACCGACGATCTAGTGAAGGTCGCGGGAGGTGCCTGGATGCGGGCGGCGCAGGACCGGACTTTGTGGAAATCCTTGGGGGAGGCCTATGTCCAGCAGTGGACGTCATTCGGATGAAACCAGGCCTGTTCATCTCCGCGAGTTTACATCGAAAACAAAACACGCACGATGGCCCACCTACAGGATACTATTCGACAAGGCCTCACATACGAGCGAACATTGACTCACGCACGCGTATTCTTGTGTATGATGGAAGAAAATACTAAATACTGTGCAGTATTTAACTGCCTAAATAATAATAAAAACACAGAATGTACTTTTTTAAGTTGCCTCAAGACACTGAGAGGTAAATAAGTAGTTAATATTATTCATGATAATTCATGCTAAATCATGTATTTCCTCCGCCATTTTCCGCAGTTTGGCACCTCACGTCACATCATTTTACCGAAGTCAGCCTTAAAGCTTCGGCGCAGTGCCGATCACTGAAGTTTGTCAACAAAATGGTGCTTGACTCTTGAGACAGGCTAAATTACACCATATTGTTAATGGCATTGAGCATAATTTTTTTTAAATACCTTCGCGAAGTAAAACTTCTGTACGTAGTACTTATTATTATTCTGTGATGAAACGATCAATATGAAAACAAAAGAACAATCAAATCTGAATCAAAGTCGATCTTATGTACTCGTAATTAGACATGTAGATATATGTTTTTGGTACGAGTATTAGACATGGATAGCATAGCAAAGTCGCATTATAGAGTTAAATTGGACGTTATTTTTTTTTCAACTTTTTTAAAATGTTTGTAACTTTTCTTGCAAAAATCACTGAATGGATTTTGATGAAATTTTACAGTATTACCTATTGTTTATATATATATGAAATTGACCGAATCGACTAAATNGCGGCCCAGAGACTTAACTCCACTTTCATTAAAACAAAATGTTTTGATATGGTATATCTCATTGGGCTGAGCACTCTTAAAAGTGTACCATACTAAAGTTTGAGGTAAAGTCGCCGTCCCAATGAAATCTTTTATCTTATCAGAATCGGCTAATACATTTGAATTACTAACACCAATAGAAAAAGAGCCGATTTTCCTATGACACACAAAGAGATTTACTAAGTAATTATACCCGGGGCATATTGAGGTTGAATAGAAGAACCAAAGATCAGGTTCATTTCTTGTGTAGGTCCCTCCAATATCATAATCACAGCTATGTTTTAATTTTTGTGTCAAATCGAAAATACATAGTCTTTTAGCTTCTTCGGACTGGCATCTGTGAAGGCATGACACAGAACCGGGCTGAAAACAAACAAAAATTACAATTTTATAAACAATTAGTATAAACTCTATACGAATTTTGGGAAATTACTATGTTCTGAAGTTCTAATCAAGCTTCTCATCTGTTGCATTATAATATTATAAGGACCACGTATTTCCGGCTCCATCTATCTCATCCGTTTACTTAATATCGTTAACTGGAGATGCTTTCATAGGGGGCTAGGGGGGGGTGTTTCACAAAGCAGTTGGGTGCAGAATCGAGTTGGACGGAGCGGCTGATAAAGCAAGATAAAAAAAGCTGGCAATTTGGAATCTAATCAATACTAAGGACTATGTAATGGAGTAGGTACCTCAGAAATGAAAGAAGCGTCTGCATCGGAGTCATTGTTTCGATTCAGACGCACGTCCCTTACATTTGGAGCATCTCTATGATTTTCTTCGTCCATTTCGGGTTGAATAACTTCCGCTTCATCCACTATCATAAACATAGCTAATGTTATCCTGTAAAAAATAAAGTATGTGACAAACCTTTATCATTTCGTAGTGTAATCACGTAGGTAACATAGAAACATACAAAAAAAGTAGAAGTGAAGTTATTAAGGTATTAGGACTTATTTTTCTGTCTATAAATCTTTCTAAGGTGTTTTGAGCTGACTGTATTACCGGTAACTATAGATAAACATTAATGACGATGATTCATTTTTCTATTTCTATTGCACCATCATGTTGCAATTTTATTATTAAACAAAAGTCCTGGTTGGTTTCTTTTTTGCGATATTGAAAATGAAATTATTTGCAAAATTGGTAGATAAAGAAATATAGGAATTAAATGAAAAACAGGAATGCTACACACAATAGCAAACTCTCACCTCGAATGAATTGAATATTTAATTAACGTCTATACTATTTTAAATTGTTGATACCACTTTTTACTCTTATTTATATTGATTTAAACGGTAAGACAAAAGTAAATAACATTAATACAAATGAAAATCAGCAGTAAAAATGGCAGTAAACAATTTTATTTCAAGAGACTTGCTCTGTGGTTTTGCATTTAAGAACTGTCAATGCTGTCAACATCTTTATATTTACCTTTTTAAATAAATTAATTCATACAAATCGTCAAATCTCGTTTTTTTTTACCCTACCAGCGTTTCAAGACAAAAATTGGTCAAGTGCATGAATACATGGATCAGTGTGTGTCTTATTGTTATAAGTAAGTACGGTTCCTTGTGATCGGTATGAGTGCACCACATACAGGGACCATGGTTTTAACTCTTAAGAGTACATCGCAGGATATGTATTAAAAACAATGCTACTTTATACTAATCTTCTACTGCTACTTTATTCTAATTAATTATTTGTTACCTGTGCTGTTAATTACAATTCTCAATCCGTAAATAATTTCTTCTTTCTACCGTGTTCGTACTACTGTCCTCGTAAAATCATCGTAACGGATTGTTGTAATCGAATTACATGAACATCACTCGACCATGTATGTCCATTTGGACATATCGGAATGGCACGCTTTGACGATCAACTTGCTGTATCTACTCTAATCCATATCTGTGATTTCCTATGTATTACTTTTCTCTAAGGCTGTCAATGTCAAAATGATTTACTCTTCATTCAAATTCGATCGTTCTCCGTTCTAACGTTCACTCATTCAAAACCATAGAGAAATCCCGATTTTATATTATACCATGACCGCAAAAGCGCGATTTTTTGAGCACCCTCATAAAAAATTCCTTACAGCGTTACAGCATTAAATTCGCCTTGTTGTACTAACTGTATGGCATTGAAAATAATTATATTGTAATAATTAAAGATTTTTTTTATACTTCTTAAAATATGCGTGCTTTAATTAAGTTTAAAAAGTTAAGGTTGCATAAAGTGGATGCATAAATGCCTCTCACTTCACCTAGGACAAAAATCCTGATATAGATGACCCACGTTGAACTGTCCCGCCAAACTCAATGACAGGGGGGCGCTACCATCGTTCAACTTTATGGTTTCCAACATGGCAAAAATCGGAACCAGCGATTCGGTATTGACGGTGGCGCCCCGCTGTCAATGTCATCGATAGGACAGTTCAGTATTTTGGAACTATACCTACATACGTACTTAGCTCCTGTGAGCACCCTTTTTCAATCCAAGTTATGTATATCATAATGATTGAAATGGGACTGTTCGTTCGTTTCAACCAAGTGACAACCAAGGGATTTCCACAACGACCGATCCTGCACTTACAACATCTACAAATTTATCATTAAGGCTACAATTGTTTTAGAGGTGCTGCTAAATCTTTATGTATACGAAACCTTCGTTTTCCACAGTGGCCTCTCGAAGGGAACGCACATCTTTCCGCGACCTTCACCAGTTACTTAGTTGGTCCACTTAAGATTCAGCCAAATCAACGCGATCAGCCGGCGTGTGATCGCGTTGGTTTGACCGAACCTTTAGAGGGAGGCCTGCCTATAGGTACCTAACGCCTTCCGGCCGGTGGTGGCCACTCGAGAAAAGGGAACTAGTCACACTAGCTCACAACTGTACATGAAGTTTCGGGAATGATTAATTCAATTCGATGAGCTGTGAATTATACTTGTGTTAGGGAACATTTGGTTTTGAGCCTAGGTAGCTAGCTCGCTCCTAATGCGTAGAATTGCCAAACACCTTGCGTCCTTGTGCAAAGCTCATGCCATGCCATGTCTAAATCGTTGTAGCAGTTTAGCTTTAGAGCCTTCAGACTTTATTTACTGACATGTGGGTAGTTACCTACTACCTATCTATCTGAATACGCGCAGGCCTATGCGAATTACATATTTCAGTACCATATTTCAAGTCCTTTGATCCAGACGTGCCTTTTCTTTGCCGTAGTTTTCGGGGAAAATAATGTGACATTTTAAAATTATTCCGCTTCACGACTATCGCAAGTTCAGGACCACGTTTTTTTTAGTTCTTGCTTACTGAAACGCCACTGGGTGGTTTGTAGAAAAGGTCATTCATATTACAAGTTCGGTAAGGTATAAGTACTTCTCTATAAAAAGCTCGGAAACAAAAAACGGATCAAGGTGTCTTTATGGGTAAGATTTTAGATTTTTCTTTCACCATGCTTTGGGATTTAACGAATGTATAGTAAACGATTGAATAAGAATTTTCCTCCCTAGTTTGTTTATTGCAACGATCAGTCAAAAATCAGTGAAAATGTTTCTGACTGGCGGAGTTAATTTTATTATGAACCAAAATACTTAAATTCCTATAAGTGAATGAGAATAAAAATATTAAAATTAATAAAAATATGAAAAATGAAAAAATGAAAATGAAAATGAAAAATTTTTATTGCTACACTATAAAATAAATTACTTACATGTGAATGGGTAGGTACACAGAAATAAAGAAAAAAAGAAAAAGTTATAAATAAAATTTGAATCTTATGATGTTACACTTTTGTAGGTAAGCAAAAGGTACCAGTCTCAGCATAATGCTGAGCTACAAGCTCAGCGCTGATTTTCAGACTGGCCCTGAAAATGGTCGGTTGGGTTGGGAGGATAGTGTGTTTTTTTGAGGCACAATATGTTAATTTTCTGTGGCGGTGTAGGTGTTTGAGTGTTTTCTAAGTGTTTTTGTGTTGTTGTTTTGTGTTATTAGGTGTTTTGTGTTTTTTAATATCGAAATGCAAGTTAGGGTGTGTGTTTCGTGCGTTGGCGCTGTGGGGGTTTTGCATAGACCAGTGACTTCTTCCGTTGCTCAACAAGTAAGTGGGAGCGGACAAGTTGTTTGAACTTATAAAGTGGCTTAAGTGGCATTGGTTCTCGCATGAACATATTATGACGTCACGTGGTTTTGTTTTTCAGATCGGGCTAAGCAGGCAGGCTTAAAGCTCTCTAAGCTGCTTAAGTTCTTAGTCCCAGAAAGAGACTTCAACGTTGTTAACACTAACCGAAGAGCAAGTATAACACGATATTATTTATTTCTATTTCTATCACACTTGCTTACCTTTTTTGCCAACAGTAACGTAAAACCAAACAGCGCCCCCTAGACTCGCCACCCAAAGTTGGATTAATAACTCATTGGATTTAAGCACTCACGGCCTAAGTTAAAGTCTCTTTAACTGTAAGAGACGCGTTATATTTCATGCAGTTATGATACATAAGTAGGTAGGACCTTTTTCATACAGACAGGTAAGGACAGGCTAAGTAAGGGATGCAAGTGTCAAACCGCGCAGTTTACAGCGCCTGCGTGGCCCGGGCTGCCCCGGAACCTGTGCCTCCGCCCCCTGACTGTAGGGTTGTGGCTACCTCGAAAGTACATCGAATTTCTATTATCCTTTTTTGTCTCAGTTTCGGAGATAGAGTTTGGCGCTCGATCTGACCTGTAAGGTCTTTGTTTGAAAAGAAAGAGAATTGCGTGTCTGAGAGTCCGTTATGCCGTATCTAATCCTATCTTCCTTCCTGTAGGTACTTATTAAGAGACAGGAGTCCTTAGGGCTATTTATACACATTTATTTGGACTGGGTTCTAAAATAAAAACATGAATTACTTAGCGACAAGTGCTCTAACTACAGCGATAAAGAACACTAAAATAACGCAATGCTTCTACATAAGTAGGTACTTGTAGTAACGATCACAATGACTGTCACATACAATCTACGTCACCACCATGAGCCAGTACCTACAGCTTAAGTAGTTGCATGAATTTAAAAAACATTAAAATCTCCATCCCGTTGGAAAAAAACGTAAGATCGCGAATTCATCTCTCGACGCGTCTCCTCACTACGCTGCACCACTTTCAAGGTCGCATCTTTCAGTGGGCTGCTTGCAGCCGGCGGCGTCACACGATGCCATGAGCGGGGCACGCGAGCGCCGCGCCGACACCGTCGAGCTCCTGCCCCTGAAGTCGGCGCTGGTCAACAACAACCGCGAGGATGAGGCGTACTACCCGCCGGCCCTGCCGTCCACCTCCAACCTGTCCAACCTCTACGAGTACACGCTGCTCTCGAAGAGGACGCCGGCGTCGAAGAGGTGAGTGCAGCTCTGATTGGGTGACAGAGAAAAGTGCAATCTGAGCGATAGAATTCGAAGTACCTCTTACTACAAAGACAAAAGTCAATTGGCCCGACATTAAGCCCTTTGTATGCTTGATTCCTTGGACTGAAATAACTTGCAATGATTTGAATGAAAATTGTTCACTTTTATGAATGAACTTGATGAGAACTGTAACTAAAATTGTGTGTTAAATGTATGTAGATAAAGTTACGTTTAGCAAAAAAGAGTATTTAGGTAGGTAAAATATGAGTGATGACAAAAGATATACTGTGGGACTTGTGTTTTCCACAAAACAAATTGTTTTCCACAATAGACCCAATAAATTCTTCGATAATTTAACTGTAAAAATGCTTCTAAAGCTACGTGGAATAAAAAAAACGTGTAAAAATAATTATAATAATTGTTGTGTAACTTAATGTCATCACTTTGGGTTACATGTGGTTTTTAGGCTTTCAGTGACGATTGTAAACCGCTTATTTTTTGTTTATAGGCTCCTCTCCAAAACTACACAACCCTCGCCCACTCCCCTGGTGACGCTATGCGGGGCGCCGCCTCCGTCCAGGAAGCGCGAGGAGCTGACCGCGCTCGCTAACCTGCGCAAGAAGGTGGCTCCCGCGCTGCTGCCCGACAGGTGAGTGTCCTGTCACATCTGCTCCACACAGCCCGGGACACTCCCCGGGTCGCTGTGAGTGTCCTGTCACATCTGCTCCACACAGCCCGGGACACTCCCCGGGGCGCTGTGAGTGTCCTGTCACATCTGCTCCACACAGCCCGGGACACTCCCCTGGTCGCTGTGAGTGTCCTGTCACACCTGCTCCACACAGCCCGGGACACTCCCCGGGTCGCTGTGAGTGTCCTGTCACATCTGCTCCACACAGCCCGGGACACTCCCCGGGGCGCTGTGAGTGTCCTGTCACATCTTCTCCACACAGCCCGGGACACTCCCCGGGGCGCTGTGCGGGCGCCGCTTCCATCCAGGAAGCGCGAGGAGCTGGCCGCGCTCGCCAACCTGCAGTACTAGGACAGTAAGAGGTCACTGCTGCCTTTAAGTAATCATCTACTCCATAGATGGCCCAACTTTCTCCCTTGCATACCGTGGTGATTTTGCCAGGTGTATTTGAATACGCGAGGAAGCTTCTTAAACTCGACACGTCACATCATCTCAGTGTTCTAATCCTGTTTGACAAAATAGGCTTCATGATATTGATTGACTACTAAATTCAAGACCAATATCAAAATGTAGTCTTGTAAATTATCATTTATTATACATTCAATCATTGGTCGGTTACCAGACCATGAAGGCAGAAATGGGGCCGGCCTATTTCCTCGCATCACGAGACACAATTTCAATCAATCTTCCTTCGCTTGTCATCGAAACGCTTTGGCATATCATTCCAGAGATAGCGATCTACTTTCCGTGTCGAGGCCCAGTCCATCACAGTCATTCTACACTCATATATCTAGCCCACAGTTCGCCACAAAAATGTTTTTGCCTTATGCTTATTGGGATAAGGGTGAAAGTTTCAACTTTTGCTGCATGCTAAGTATATGTATTCCAGTTGGCAGTATCTGCGATCCCCTTTCGCTGAGGCCTTGAACCGTTGTCTTGGTTTATCGCTCGGAGCACGCGAACGCCGACTTAAATTAGCAATTTCAACTGTATGCAAATTACTGTGTAACCTACCTTACAATGTTCTTAGGCAGATTCATATAAATAATAGGTAGGTAGGTGTTTGGTGCTATAAAATTTGCATCAGAAATCGTTTAGTGACTTTTTGTAACCATAAAGGCGAATGTTTACTTACCGGGCTGCAAATGGGTTTTCTTATCGGTCGAATTTGGTAAAAACTTTCAGGTGGTAAGAAACACGCATAAAAATGTCGTGAATGCTCTAGCGGTACAATAGAGTGGTTCTATCTTGAATAATATAGTACCTACTCTGTTCTATTATGTAAAGTTAGAAGACAATATACCTACGTCTGGAACATCTAGCAGATGTTACAATGTTTACCCAAGAAACTCACATTGGGTTTGTGTTTCAGAAAGTCATCCAACAAGAACAACAACGAGCAGGCGAACAAAGACGACAACGAAGAGCAACTAGACAACAGACCAAAACTTTTACAAAGGGTAAGGGAAATCAGCTTAGTCACTTACTTAGTTTCTGTTCTATTGTTATTTGTATTGACTAGATTCTTAGGAACTAAACTATGTTAATAAGTAGTCTATTCCCTTCCCTTATTAATAAAAAGTTACACCCTAGTCGAATACTGTTTTAAAGTGACATTTCCATACTAAACGTCACTTTGCGCACGCAGTGTTCAACAACTAATTGGTACATAGTGTAACTTTTTACTAAGGGGGTATATTTTCAACTAATTACTAGGTTTAAATTACCTATCTGGACACTTTAGTTAGGGTCATGTAGTCGAGTTATTGGACAGATGTTTACTGATTTAAAAATAGCATATCTATTTTAAGAACTAAGAGATTTCGACTGATGGGAGATAAATTAGCATTTGAAGTAATATTAATTTAAACGTCGTTCAAGGGGTGTTGTGTCCAATGACTGGAGGTTTAGCCTAATACTTTTTAGCTAGCTGTTATTAAAAACATATAACGATCAATCATGACTAAAAGGGCGACTTGCCACGCGGCAAATGGAAAAGGCCATTCTTATGATTATGACAGATGCAACAATGATCTCTCAAGAAATAGGCCGGCTCGCCCTTGACCCACCGGAAGCGACCTCTACCGCCTGCAAAGTCTGAGACTTATAACAATACCGTTTCATCAATGCCATTTAAATATGCATGAGGCTCTTCAGGCATTTAAAATTGAAATGCCTCCGTTGAATTTATATTAAATACTTGATTGTCTTATAGACTAAATTCATACAAAAGGATTGTTTAGAGGGTGGCACTATTGTCATGCGTTATAGCTTGGACGACCTTTGGCATTTTATTACCTTATGTTCAGCATAGGATCTACAGTATGTAAAAAAGCTTTCTGAAATCTGTTTCAAAATCGCAAAAAGATCCGGTGCTCAAATAAGTATAACATTAATTTTATTATTAGCATCACAATCACCCCTCCTTTCGGATTGGACGGTTGGTATTGTTTTTTTATCCACAACGAGAAAACTCTTGGCCTGTATCTCATCTGATGGTAAGTGAGGTGGAAGCGAGCTTCACTCGGAATCCTCAACCACGGTGGAACTGGCTATCTTACCTCTAACTGGCGGAACACAACAATGCTGTTAACATTGTTGTAATGGAGACAGACTTAGGTAAGATGGTGGTAGCTAGCCAGGCGGACTTAGAACAAACCCTACCACCAACCAAACCGAACATATGACAAACTACATACGACTGCGTATCAAGTTATACTCTATGGCACTGATACGAGTATCTTATACGGTTGGAATAAGAGTTATTTTGCAACGGAAGTGCTTTCGACTAATAGGAATATTATTTGCTGCAAACGTGCCATGGGTATTGGTTTTCATCCGAGACGGATTATCTGCAGATTAGGCCGGGTCGTCCTTGACCCACCAAGCAGAAAAGACGCAATTTACGCCATTCAGACTATAGGTCATTTGAGATAACTGATGATGTTATTAGAATGCAAGTGCAGTCAGGGATAAAAATAGTGGATTGTACTGACTCTCTCGACACGTGGGTACCAATTTGAAAATTATAAATCGAACTGCCTAAGGCGGGAGTTGAACCCACGACCTTTCGCTTGCCAGGCGACTTTTTCAATCTACATATATATATAAAAATTAAACCCGTTTTCCGTTGTCACGACATAACATGAAAACGGCTTGACCGATTTGGCTGAGTTTTTTTGTAGTTTTCTAATACTCTGCTGTACAAGGTTTTTACGGAAAAAATATAAAGAAAATCTCTACGCTAAGGCGGTACGAAGTTCGCCGGGTCAGCTAGTTATTTATAATTTTCCTATTAGTTTGAGATGCAACTCATAACGCTAAAAATTAAATAACTGTACGTGGGTAGTTAGTTACCTTGTGGGAAACTGGCCAAATTTTTAATTCAACAAATCACAACGAATATCGCGACAGCATATTATCAGACTATACATTTATGTTGCGAAATCACACCTCATTGCTAAAAACTTGATGGAATTTTGCACGAGTGAAATAATATACATCCCAACTAATATTATAAATGCGAAAGTAACTCTGTCTGTCTGTCTGTCTGTTACGCTTTCCCGCTTAAACCTCGCAACCGATTTTGATGAAATTTGGCATAGAGATAGTTTGAGTCCCGGGAAAGAACATAGGATAGTTTTTATCCCGGTTTTTGAAACAGGGACGCGCGCGATAGTTTTTCTGTGACAGACAAAATTCCACGCGGGCGAAGCCGCGGGCGGAAAGCTAGTATTGAATAAATTAAGTACTTTACAATTAATTGATGAGCTCATAAGGAAAATTCGGGTTGGCCTTGACCTGGTGACCTGCGGCAGGATCCGCGGCTCTCCAGGTTTAACAATGATGTATTATAAGCCTGTTGTCTTCCGAGTCTGAGTAGGGTCCGACCGCACGCATTTGGAATATTAACGATTACGAGGACAGACTTGAATTAAAAATAATGGGTTGGCCTCTACTTATTTCAGGAACTCAATTGAAATTATTTTATTTCAAAAACTACGGACAGAAGTTTCGAACCGTTCGTAGTAACTGCAGCTTACTACGAAATGCTACGAACAAATAAAGCGTAGCGCGTAGCTACAGCAGTGCAGCGTCGTAGCATGACCGTAGCGCTGCCGTAGCACTACGCTGTAGCAATGACCGTAGCGCCCGTTGCATGCGAAATTACGTCACTTGCATTCGTAGTATGGAATATTGGGAAAGTTTTACATAACGGGAGCTTGTATTGATTTTGTACGGTACATATTACGCCACTGTCTGTTACGAGTATTTCCGTAATGTTATGTCTATAAATAGTTTTCTTGCTATAAGATACCCATCCTTTGGAAAACTTCACCCAAAAGCATAGCAGATGCTACGTTGTAGCTTTCTTTGGCGTATCGTGCAAAATACTCCCATACACACCGTATTTCATGAATGTACAATGGTCAATGTATAAGTTATTACGTGCAACTAGGTATAATATATTCTTCTTAGAAATTAGAAAAGCTGACGCGATAAGCGCGGTCGAGTGAAAAATTGATTAAAAATAAAATTCATCAAGAAAATCTTCCATCATTATTAATTTTTCATTAGTTTCCCAACAAAGCGGGCCAAGTCAAACATAAGATCCTCCGTTCAGAGTTCTCTAGAGCGTGAAACACCTCGATAAATGATTGTCGGCGGAGTTTTCGCAGCTCGTACGTGATGGATGTTCGACCTCTGACAGCGACCTTTAGTTTGTTATTCGACTGCTCAGTGCTCGTCCCTTTGAGCTTGTTTGTCATAACAACCTTCGGGAAAACAAAAGATTTCGCAAGGTCGTTCGGTAGGCGTTGAATGGGCTTTATTTTTGTTTTTGTGAACATTAACGGTCCAAGTATTCTTTTGTTGTTGTTTGTGGGTGGATAATATGTTTGTATCTCTACTTTATTGAGACATATTAGTGCCTGTACTCACAAAATAAGAAAAATTGCAGATAATGAGTAGATTGAGCATGATTTGTCGTTTCATCGCACTTTTTTCATAAGGAATTTAATAACACTCAGCAGCTATTTCCAATACAATTTAATAAAGTGGTCTACTTCTAAATCACTATACGGCCACTCTGTCGAAGGGGAAAAAGCTTCTAGAAAACTTTTTAAAGGTCAAATCGAAGTGGTTAGGCTTTAGAACAGCTACTTCGCTAACCACTTCACAACATCCTCTTTGCGCGGATATATCGGGAATCGAGATTCGAGATTGGAGTCTGGAAATAGATTTTTATACTTAGTTACCTACTTTCTTACTTACTTCATGCGACATCGAGGCCTCTGTTGTATGTTTTCTATTAACGACTACAACATTATATTTTAAGAAAGAATCTGTTGGTTCTTTCTCATTACTACAGGGTGCCTAGCTAGATACTACTATTATATGGGAATTAAGTTGCATACGTAAAAGCAGGAGAGGCATATCATAGCGTCATCATAGTGTCATCTCCTAGATGACACACATGTTTCCAAAGATGCTTCACAGCAATAAATACTTAATCTTTGGCAAAATGGTTTTATGTAATAAAAGTTTTTGTTTGTGGCAACCACTTTGCCAAAATAGGAAATATAATTTCGTCAGCTAAGGAAGTGGAAATGTTTCGTAACATTCAATGGAGCCAAAATATACCCCTGAATGGTGTACACTAATCCATCGGAAACATTAGGCCCACTTATAGCGTAAAAGCCTTTCGGCTTTCTTTTGTGTGAAAAGGTGCTTTTGTAGGTACTTCCTGAATAGAAATAGCTATAGTGAAATACCAACGGTTTTGGAAGACGGCTAAGGTGGATTTTAAACGAACTTCAAGTATTAAATGTTTTAGTGACTGCAATTTGAAAAGCTATGCTGAGACAGCTATATTTTCCGTAACAATACAAACTGGAAAACTTTAAAGCAAAACAAAGAATTTAAACTGGACTGCATTAGTGATTTGAAAAATAGCATCAAAGAGCTGTCTTTACACGTGGTTTGGCCATTCCAGTAGCAGTTCTATCCACTTCTATTAAAAAAGTTTCGTATTAGTTATTTTAGTCAAAAACGTTCTATAAATAAGTTTTTAATTTTGGAAGTTCGCAGTTCGTGAGGGTGTGAGAACGTGGAGTGCACACTAATGAGGACTCGCCTCTCGGTTGAGAGTTCCGTGACTTAACAACTTGCCCTCTGCAAAACGACGTTCATTCGGAGAACTTTTTAAATTAGGCCCGGAATGGATCCAAGAAATCTGGAGGGAAAATTAACAGTAATTGGATTCACACATACCTACTGCTTTATAATAAACTCGATTACGAGTATGTACCTCGAAGTTAAAATAATTTTGAGTAATGTAGGGATGATCCCGTCGATATGGAAATCTTGGGGGAGGTCTTTGTCCAGCAGTGGACGTCATTTGGCTGAAACTAAATGTAGAGTTGGGTCAATATGCATGGGGCGTGTAACTTTTTGAAAATACCTTGATTGATCCACAAATAGTTTTTAATTTAGTTAGCTGAACGAATAATTTAAACCCTTGAAACATGCAATTCACTATTTATGATCTACCTACGCCGTTAGATGCAAATTAGTTGTTGTTGTTCAGTAAATTGGCTTTTTACAAGCACTTTACCGACTGCTGCTAGCAATTCATGCACGCGAGTACGAAGATCAATCAGGGACGTTTGATTCAAGTTTAGATAAAACTTAAACCCCATTTTATCTAAGGTTCGTAGAATACAATCTACAATCTCTGCAAGTCGCAGACCCCTACGTGATCAGACTGCTTTCTAAGTCTAAGACGCGGAGTTATAATGGGCGATAGGTGGTCCTTTAGATAGGTAGCGCCAGAACTTTAGCTTCAACTTTAATATCAATTTCAATAAAAATCACCTTTGTTGTATGTGCAAATACGCGATAGACGTATGTAGGTAGGTATAGTACCTACATAGTAAGCTTAAAGCCACACAACGGTATAATACAAAACAAGAAAGTACATTTACTTTCTTGTAACCAACAAAATCCATAAATATTTTATATGACTTTGGCTGCTGTAGCGCACTTTATAGGCTGGTTAAGTTATTTGGCTCGCCTCCAGTTTTGCACGGGTAAGCCAAGCCTGGGAACTATATAAAATACTGTGTAAGTATCTAGAATAGGTAAAGAGTGACTTTTAGGTATTACAGCATTACACGATCGATCGATGATGATTGGTACCTAGATTTTGCAAGTATTGTGATCTTAACATCAGATCCTAGTGTCTATGTTACTATCACTCATCATATGTACCTAGTTACTTTTAATGTAACCTATCAAAACATTTTATAACAACTTTACCAAGTCATTATAGGTACTAGATACTCGTCAAAAACCCACTGCATTTCTTCTAAGCTTCATGTAATGCAAAGAGTTATGTATAACAGGTGCACCTAGGTCGTGTCCGTACTCGTATGTTAGGTAACTCTTTGAAACTTTGTAGTCGCATACTATGGCCAAGTGGGCGCGCCGGGTGGTAACGCTCTGGTGCTTAAGTTTCAGGTGCTTTCAGCTGCTAACATAAATGCACAGCCTTGGGAACAGTCTAGAACAACTTACAATGTCGTCGTTGTAGTAAATGATTGCTGTTGTTACTGTTCAGTAAACATAATAATCGTTATCTGGAAAAGTTATTATGTCACTGTAGTTGTTTGTGTTTAGAAATTAGTTTTGGTATCATCATGTGACGTTATCTTAAAATGAACTTTGCGCGTGAACTTATGACCCTTGCAACCTTTTCAAAACTCTTTTTGAATAACAAAGAAAATGTTACGTAATTTCACTAAAAACAGTGCCTCAGGTGATAATTTGTAATCGATCCAAAAGTCTTTGTTATCCAGGCTTAGACACAGCTATTGCCAATCGATTTTGAAAATTATAAGTATACATAAATACTACAGCGCAACATTCGTAATTAATTAATGGCAAAGTACGAGTCATTAATTAGTATTATTGTCATTATGTCGATTGGCCGATCGTAATTACTCCTTCGAGACGCCATGGTTACTAAACTGTTTGATCCATGAGCAAGTAGGAACTGAAAATCAATTGTATGAATTTTATTAAGGCTTAGTTGTATCAATGTACCAGAATCTCAACTTATTGCTGCGTCTGATTTTACTGGACCCTCAGCAAAAATTCATGGCCTGATTTACTTCGAAGACTCTACAGGCAATTTTCAGGGTTTTACTTTAAGGTCATGACAATATTATTGATATTATGATTACAGTACCGCAGGTACTAACATTACTAGACTCTACAGGGTATTCTGGGCTTTACTCTTTACTATAGTAACCGCATGATTGTAATACATTATTTCAGTTGTATAAATCTTATCTTGTGCATGGCCACGCCTAGGCGTAGAGCACGTCGACCCATTGGGGTCTTTTCTGCTGTACTGCTGTATCACCATGGAAGCCTATATTCAGCAGTGGACGTCTTATGGCGGAAATGATGATGACTGCTGTATGAATGGTCTGCACAGAACAAAAAATTAAGTGTCCCCTGTCCCACAGGTGCTACAAACGCGTCCGGTCAGCATGGTGGTGCAGTGGAGCGAGGTGCGCACGGCGTGGCAGGACAGCGACTTCATCACGGAGTGCCTCTGCTGGCACAACGTGTACCGGCAGCGGCACGGCGCGCCGCAGCTGTACATGGCGCCAGAGGTAACGCACAGTGCTACAAACGCGTCCGGTCAGCATGGTGGTGCAGTGGAGCGAGGTGCGCACGGCGTGGCAGGACAGCGACTTCATCACGGAGTGCCTCTGCTGGCACAACGTGTACCGGCAGCGGCACGGCGCGCCGCAGCTGTACATGGCACCAGAGGTAACATCATCATCATTTTCCTTTCATTTCAGCAACAGGACGTCCACTGCTGAACATAGGGCTCCACATAGGATTCCCACATCGCCCGGTCTCATCAGGTCAGGGCGGCCTGCAACCAGCGCCTTCCTGCTACCTTTATCAGGTCGTCGGTCCACTTTGTGGGTGGACGCACTGCAAAGGCACCAGTACGCAGAACTGACTGCCGATGGGGCAGCATGGTTCTGAAAACTGGCGGAAAACTCCAGAGGTAACGCTCACAAATAAATAAGTGAATCCATAACGCGCACATCGAAAACTTTAGAGCAAAAACGCGGTCTATTTTTTCGATACTTACAAAGATCACGTAACATGCTGCAACGTAATTAGACAACATAGTAGGTATCCATCTATTTATCGATTTTTTAGTGGAAAATTACATAACATTATTGTTTTTACTTAGATTGGTGTCTAACTTATGGTCTGCTCGCTCCTATACAACGTGTCCCAAAATTCAACGATAAGCCGGCGCCACAGGGCGGACATAGTCATGGGTACTTTAGGAAAAATAAGAAAAAAAATCTATCTCAATTATTTTTTAAGTTACACAATAAATAATGAAATTCGTCGGAAATTGACACCCCTTATGATATTTTACATTACCACGGCCACAATTTTTCAAATACTTCTGTTTTTTTATTTGTATCGGCAACCTAAGTAGTGCTGCTGTCCACCCCAATCCTTAAAATCCCCAGAATCCTTGCAATTTTTACACAAAAGTTAATCAAAATATGATATTTCTTTAAAATTTTTAACGATTTTTACTTTCACTCAACTTTGACTCGTCGTTTTGTAAAAAAAAAGTATGAACACTACTGCGGCAAGTTTTTTATAAAGTTGACGCAACTATCCAAGATTCCAAAATGGTATAATACTCTAAGAAAACTAGTCGCAAAAAACCATTTTTACAAGCACTTCGCTTGTTAGTTAGTATGGGATAAATCTTGCAACTGAATTTAAAACCAGTTCTCCTCAACTAATTGAGCTGAAATTTGGTATACTTATGAAAGTACGATGACAATGCAATACTATGGTATCATTGAGCTGGATGGAGACTGGAGGTGGCCATAGGAACTTCTAAACGAAACGGCGGAATTGCATCTAGTTTAGGTTCGTTGGATTTGTCTTTTCGTGCACTTTAGTGCTAGATGATGTCCAGAGTGCTGATGATGAAGTCAAGAGGTGGCCAGCGGCTGGTCCTAGGAACTCCTAAACGAAACAGCGGAAGCTTATCGAATTTGGGTTCGTTGGATTTGTCTTCCCGGGCACATGGGCCCCCCAGGATTTTGGGGTTCCTACCGATTCGAAGATTGAACAGATGCGCCAGTGAGTACTAATCTGCGCGACTTGTGTCACCCCCTGATGCTTGGCACCCGGGGCGGTAGTATACCATAATTTTTTGTTGGCCGGCACTTTTAGAAAAGGCCCAAAAAGAATGATGTCCTTTCGTTGTGGGTCCAATGACAGTTTAACTTTCCCCCGGAACAAACTTGACCTTCACTGGTTGGGTTTTTATTGGCGGTCAAGCTGTAGATCCTGGCTACACAGGAATTGCAGCGGTGGGAACGAGAGGTGGGAATAGTCTTGTACCTATACCTATAGCCAGTGTAGCCAGGAATTTCAAGTTACGACCTATTTCTACTGTCGCAATAAAAGACAATAGTAGGTAGGAAGACTCGGCAATGAACTATAAATATAGAAATAAATGAATTGTTTTTTTTTTATTTATTTTTTCCAGCTGTGCGACTACGCTCAAGCGTGGGCGAACCACCTGGCGCACACAAACAAGTTCCACTACAGGAACGACCGCGACGTGGGCCAGAACCTCTACCAGCGCCCGGTCAGCGCGCTGCAGCCTGACATCACAGGTCAGATTCAAGTTTTTTTAAAGGTACTTTAATTAGGTTTTTTCTTGTACGTGGTTTTGAGGGCGGACGGGGCGGCCTCTGCTAGTTCAGGATGAAAAAGCATGAAGTAACGTGACCGCAATGGTTGTCAAACTTTTCAGCAGTTGCGTCTATCATGCTTAGAAATAATAGACTATTCGATTTCATGTTCACACCTCAATTCCTATGGTCGTATACCTAGTTTTTTTGTTAAATAGTGGGTACTAACATAACTACCTACCTATTGTTAAATTACTCTGATGATTGGAACTTGAGATGCGTTATTACACTACTCTGTGGGTCAGGCGCGGATCCAGCCCCCAAAAAAGGTTGTGGGCACAGCCACCAAAAATTAGCAAAGTGAGAGTTGGATTGGAGTACGAGCTCACTCATGAACAATCATGGACTACCTAACCTGTGTTTTGAATTTTTTTTTAATTTGATATTATTTACAATGTTTACATCATCAAATCAAACTGGATTTGGGCAGGCGCGCTAGTAGCACCAAGTGGTCGGTGGCGGCGGCGTTTTAGTGGAACGGCTGTGTTCCAAATCACGCTCGATTTTTTAAAGGCTCATCAGTCAGCCGTTTTTATCATCAGCCTATCGATCTTATCAATAGATCATAATTAAAACAAGCAAATTAGGGTTGTGGGCATGCCCACAGTGCCCACAACGGTGGATCCGCGCCTGCTGTGGGTGTTAAAGATGTTTAATGTTTATTTTAATTTCCAGGGCAAGAAGTGTCTTCCTACTGGTACGCAGCTGTCCGCCAGTACAACTACTTCAAGGAGCCAGATGTTCTACACGCCAACGTTAATGGAGGTAGGAGTGTTTATTAACTGCTTGATAATGCTTGCTTGATAAAGGTAGCAGGAAGGCTGCAGGCCGCTACCAACCGATGCCATGTGCGATGTGGAAGTCATTGGGGAAAGCCTATGCTCAGCAGTGGACGTCCTGTGGCTGAAATGATGATGATGACGTTTTGAGGTAGCTTGCGAGGGTATCGTGGTATAGACGATGCTAGGCCTAAAAAGGGGACAATGTGTGTTACCCGATACATTTATTGTTTTAATTCCTGCAGGTCATTTCACGCAAATGGTATGGGTGGCAACGCGCTTCTTCGGCGTAGGCAAAGCGCGGTCTCGCGCGGGCAAAGTGATTGTGGTGGCAAACTACTCACCACCAGGGAACGCCTCTGGTCAGTTCGAGGCCAACGTGCTCCCACCGCTGCCGGAGAACTTCCCAGACCTGCCACCACCGCCGGAGCACTGACGAAGGTTCTCCATACGTGGCAGGAGACTACAGATCGACGCCACGTTCAACCGATAAACGCAAATGCAACGAATAACGACGCGACGTGTCAGATTTGGATAACGTTATGATTTTATTATGAAAATGTAGAATTAGAAAGAGCGAAACATCGAAAACCGGTAGATAGCTACTGAATTGTCAGCTTATATAGACAAATTGCCTTAGAATTGCCCATTGAAGCACGGAAGTGCTCTACATCGTACGAATCCACGTCCATGATTCATATCAATTAGTGTTGTGTTGATGTAATGTACACGAGGAGTAAGGTGTAAGGTATACACGACTTAATTTTTATATGAACACAAAAATAAATTTTGATACAAAAATTAATACGTAATTAAGCCTCAAATATGAGCTTCGATTAACGAGCTAACAACACAAGCTGGGGCCTGTTGTATCAACGAAGCCTTTTTCTAAGTCCGTCTTCTGCAATTAATTAATCACACCGTCCCAATTGATTCTACCGCTACCGCACAGCTTGTGCCCTTGTGGCTGTTGGAGTTAGCAGGTTAGAGCCTTCGAATTTTCGGCCTACTGTACATACCTCTAGCACGAAAAACATTCCGCCTTCGAAAGAAAAGCTTTTGATGGCGATTCGAATACGCATACGATTCGAAGTCGAAAGTTTTTCGTGCTAGAGGTACTGATACTGTACCATTTCTATACCACAACACGTGACACATCGTCCATTTTAGCTTTGTGCTTAGTCAATTAGGTAATTAAAAATCTTGGTTGTTTCTGCCTGAGCTTGGATTTTATAACGATATTTAGAATTATAAAGCAATAGTCATACGCACAGACACGTTTTAGAGAGAGATTAAGTATAATAGATTTTATGCCTGCCATAGTTTTAGTCTACCTAGTAAGATGCTTTTGAGGATGTTTGTTATTAATTACAATGCTATAATCCTTAGGAAATTATATTCAGGGCTACCCAAAAAGGTTTTGTTAAAATCCTTCAATTTCGAAAAAGGGTGCATATTACATGGAATGTCGGTTTTGTAAATGTAATATGAAAGCTAAACCAAAGCTTGCACCATCCAGTGGATTTTTGCATTGGTTTACATTTTCTTCTATATTTCCTCATGTGGGAATCCAACTTACAGAACTATTGTACCGCTGAAATTCCTCAAAATGATGTGCTACAAAATAGTTTTATACAATAGGTACAAAGATCGAAAGTCAAAACAATCAAGTTTACAGTCATTTGTAACTTCTTCTACTTAAAAATTCACTATGAAGTCACTTGACGTCACAATTGCTATTAATTTTACTGTAGGCGTTGTGCGCCAAAACACCAATCTCGTAGTAATAATGTATTTCCAATGCAATAATTATTAAAAATAATAATGATGTTGTCTCAAAACATCTTTAGTCTCTCTAATCTTTATCTGGCTGCCCTCTATAGAATTCTATACACTCTTTTAAACATAATATCTAGAAATTCCAGATATCTTCACTGTTAAAATACGAACTTTTAGATACTTCTCTAATAGAATAGCCCACTTTGTAAACTTTGCAAAATATTCGTACTAAGCACTTTAGGCCTAAAAATATTTTTGCTTCTCCTAATTATGAATAAAAACTCGTCTTCCCAAAAGGTTGATGATTACTTATATTGTACAATTGTTAAGTTTTCTTGTTATAATATCACTATGTATGATTCATTCTGAATGTATTTTTGTAAAACGGAAACCAAAAATCTTGTGAACGGAAATGTTTAAGAATGCATTATGAGCAAATTGGGTGTTATATGAGAGAATTATTTCCTAATTTAGGTGAATAGTTAATGCTTATAAGGAAAATTAAATGAGATTTTAATCTGCACTTAAAAATACTGAATGTTTCAGTCTTACTCTTTATATGACAAACTTATTTTAATTTAGAACAGATCATGATGGATCTTATCTATTGAATTTAAATTATATTAGCAGTAGTACAGTACAGTGTGTCACCTTTTCATCAGTTTTGCATTGAGCAAAGCAGCAATGCCTCCCTGGCACAACCATGACATTTTTGCCTTCATTAGTACATTATCAGGATATCCCATACAGTAGCACATCTAGCATAAGTCAGGAGTAGAAAACTTTCCGAGATACACAAATCATTTATCTTTGTTCATAGAAACATACAATCAAATTGAAGAACTTACCTATCCAGCTAGTGCTATATCTTGTTACAGCTTATAAAACTTTCTGATTCACTATATTAATTTGTTACCTAATAAGACAAAAAAGGGTGATAAGTGCAATGTTATTGTTGTATTTAGTTGTAGAGAACCACATTGATGTAGATACAGTGCCAAATAAATAAGTAGCCTAAATAGATACTATAACCAATTAAATTATAGTGGTAACCACAGTTGTTCCATTGTAATCAGAGCAGCAATTTAATCCATTACTATTTACTTGATGGCTGTGAATTGTTAACTGTTATTATTATTAGATCAGATATGCTTGGCAATATTTTTAGTTAATAAATTAATTAATACCAAATTATCAAGAGTTTTTTTTCAATCTAAATTTCTCATGAATGATATAATAAAGGATGGGTAAATCAAAAACCAAAAATGAAGTTTACCTGATTTAATTTTCTTAATTTTATAGTAATACAGTACAGTTCATTCAGTCCACCTGTGCTTGCAGCTGGTGCAGACGTAATAAAGTCTCATCTCCTCTTCAGCTCGGCGCGTTTGTCCTTGGAAGAATACAGCTTCTCTGTGATTGCACTTCGGGCACATGTGATCCTTCGTTCGAGGCAATGTGGGGTCACTGACTACGTCTGGGTTAATATGCGTTAACTCATCTACTTCGTGCATAATTTTGTTGACATAGACGCAATTAGAATCTGCGAGTTGCTTATAATCACAGTTTCTACACGCGTATAACAAAACTTTGTTGTTTTTGTCTTCTCGCGGGTAAAGCATGTTGTTGCATTCTTGACAAAATTGTATACCCACGTATCCAGGACCGCCGTCTTTACGGGCAAGATTTAAGGTCATCTTCAATATTATTTTTAGGAGAAACTGCTTTGTTTATATTGTAAAATCACTGAAAATAGGAAATCGCAATCCTGAATCCACAAGCTCAAACTCTACAAATTAATAAATGTCAATGTCATTTTATGTCACGTCAGTTACGTCAATATTGAACGAATGATAGAGCGATTCTTGGCGATGGTATTTATTCAATATAGGCAACATTACGATAATAATTTAAGGCTACAATAAACTATTGGTTTTTTCCCAATATTATTAACCTTTTCAGCACCACGATCGGTCTTCTATAGAAGATAAACTTTTCCGTGCTTTCCTTCCACGCCACGTCTTCTTTATAAGACACTATCTAACACTGACGTTAACTAAAATACGTAAATAGTTTTCTTACTGTTCGAGCCATAGCTTGGCGCCTGGTGGGACACACGGTGTGTCACACACCGCTTTTAATATAGGCTAGGTTGATAACCTTAGTCTTCTTCTTCTTCTTTTTTGTTCCTGGCAATACTCGTCGAGGCCGACTTGATTTGTGCCATTTTCATGTGAGTGTGGGACGAGTTAAGAAGAGGGACCAAGTNTTAAATCATCTCTATGTTCACGTTCATACATTCATAGATATGAATTTTTCTATTTTTTACACATAAAAGCAAATTCAGAACAATTTTTTGTTGTTATTCTTATTTCTAGGTCATAAAGCAATAAAAATAAGCTATGCATAACCCATGCGCAAAAATGCTGTAGACAGTTGTAATTCTTCAGTACTGCGCAAGAAAGACATAAGCTTGAAAATAATCATGAATTCTCTTTGTGAAAACATGGAATGGGAAAACGTTTAAATAAGGAATCTTTGCCATTGAATCAGGTGCAAAGCTATCAGCTATTATAAGTTATCAAACAAAAAATTTATACTCAATACTTCATTGCTTTTACCACATTAGGACATTTAATTAGGTCTTAGAAGCTAAAGCAGTTGGACCTAGTTAGGGCACAGCAACTTTTATAATTTTATCATGTTTCAAAGAAATGAATACTTAAACAGTACATGTTGGATACCATAAATGTTTTAGTTGCAAAGTATTTGCTAAGGCACTTGACAACCCATCTTTCATTAGAAGGAATAAACCTGTGACAATAGATCATGATAGTAAGTAATTTACTCACACAAATACGAAGATAGCGTCCCAAAGGTACAGAAAAGCAGGCAAAGGTCCATAGGCTTCATTAATGTAGTGGTAGTCGCCACCACTCTGCAGCAGTGTAGTCCCTGCGTTAAATTACACTCATTGAGCTCTTCAATATTCAAATTTATGACATAAAGAGAGAAGTTAAGTATTTCTCATTACTACCAATCCATCTAAAAACTCTCTAATTGCATTAAAAACACTAATTTCTTGTTTTAGCCAGAAAAATGTTGATTTTGCAACAACTTTAATTTAAAAATATTTCCAGATAGTAATCATAAATGGTAACAAAATTAATGGCTGAAAAATCTATGTTCAGATAGCAAACATGTTTAGTAATCAATCATGTTCAGCCATCTATCCAAATTATAGTTATCTTTTTCAGACCAATACTCAACTACAGCATATGGCACACAGATCTGTGATAATGCATCTTAATTATTTGAAGCACTTACCCAATTCTGCATAGGATAAAGCTCCTAGCGTCGCCATGCCTCCGCACAGGGTCCACACAGTCAGAGATCCCCATACCGAACCAGTTTTCTCCAAGACTTCTTTAGGAGTTATAAAAATACCACTGCCAAATATGATCCCCAATATTATTGCCACCCCCTCTAAGAGCCCTAACTGTTTCCGCATTTGCACTTTTTCATCTCCCATTTTGGAAGCCGTTTCAGTCTTCTTTCCTTTGGTATAGGTATACTACTACTTGGGTAACTATGGATGGACCTACCAAGCCCGCTAACCTCTATTTAACGACGTCTGATCTGAATGGTAATTGACCCTTCACATTTCTAGTTAGCTATAAATTAAGCGGCCTTGCACAAATTAACCGCTGATTATAATCAAGCTAGATGGGCCCATTACAAAATAAATAAACGACAAAGTATGATCTCCTTGGCACATGCACTGCCTGCAGCACCTTTCAGAACCGTATTTTTTTTCTTCTTCTTCTTCTTTTTTGTTCTTGGCAATACTCGTCGAGGCCGACTTGATTTGTGCCATTTTCATGTGAGTGTGGGACGAGTTAAGAAGAGGGACCAAGTNTGGCACGCTCGGCTTCATACAATTTTTGACACATGCTGCATCTATCCATCTGTGGGTGCAGCCTAAAACATTTTTTTTTAATATAGTTTTTCACAGCTCTGGGTGCATCCTTTTAAGCCAGTCTTTGAAGTCCGCTGAATTTTTGTTTTAATTTGACACATGACAACTGTGTAAATCATCTATTATAGAGTAGGCACACACCGTTGATTTTTCGTCGGCCGATAGTTTAGCCGGGCAGTTGATCAGTATGGGCATGTATGGGAGTGCGCACACTACGCCGCGGCGCCGTTTCGATTTGGCCGATTCTTCATACAATTTAAAATCGGGCACAACTATCGGCCAACTAAAAATCAACGGTGTGCGCCTACACTTAGACCACAGATAAATGAGAGTATTTCAATCAATCGAATCAACACTGAACCGTCCCAGCGGGTCTAGACAAAGTGCAAATTATAATCGCAAACCAGTCGAAAAGTGGTCGAAAAGCCCCTTTTTTGTATGGAGTTTTGACGGATTCGATTTTCGATTCGATCAAAAAGTGCGTTTTGTCTAGGGGGGTAGCTATAGATGACCCACGCTGAACTGTCCCACCAAACTCAATGACAGGGGGGCGCTACCATCGTTCAACTATATGGTTTCCAACATGGCAAAAATCGGAACCAGCGATCCGGTATTGACGGTGGCGCGATGGCGCCACGCTGTCAATGTCAGGGATAGGACAGTTCAGTATTTTGGAACTATACATTGATAGAAGGGCGCTACTATCAAAACTGGGTTTTAGTTCCGATATTTGCCACGTAGGACATCAGTGAAGTGTTCCATTTAATTATTATGACATTTTACAGGAGGGCGCTACCATCTGAGTTAATAGTTCCGATTTTTGTTACATGACGTTCCAGAATCGTTTGTGGCAGATCTCTAATATAGTTCCAAAATACTGAACTGTCCTATGCATGACATTGACAGTGGGGCGCCACCGCGGCACCGTCCATACCGGATCGCTGGTTCCGATTTTTGCCATGTTGGAAACCATTATAGTTGAACGATGGTAGCGCCCCTCTGTCATTGAGTTTGGTGGGACAGTTCAGCGTGGGTCATCTATAAAAATCAATGACATTTCTATAATCTGTGATCTTCTGTGATGTACCAATCCATTGACTATTATTATTCCTATTATCGATAAATTTTATGCAATAAATTCATACTGGTCAATTTATTTTTTATGTCTGTGAAAATTGAAAATAGGAAAAGTAACTGTATTAAGGGTTTTCTTTTTATAAAAATATCTCTACTAAAAATTAAAGCAGTTTGTCCAAACCGTACCTACTTCCATGGTAGTGTTACATTTTTGTAACAACACACAGCGCCATGATTAATTATTTTCAACTGCAATGAACTGGACGACAAACGAAAATCAGCTGTTTGCACAAATTCGTATCGCGATGTCGCGTGTCGCTTTGATAGCTACTTATTTCAAACGAACGTTTGTGTAAAAGCTGACAGAAAGATATTTTTTCTCAAACAACTTGTTTTTTGTTTGCGCGTGAACTTTACCACGATAACGAATTGCACTTCAGCAGGAATGAAAATAGAGCGTGACTACCCTGTGGACTAGAGATGAAATGTGAATGAATTGGAGACATTACAAATTAGCATTAAGAAATTAGCACAATCGGGGCCCTGGACATCCGGCTATACAAAGCCGGGTCTCCAGCACGTGTCTTGCCCTACACTATTAACAAAAAGATGTCAACGTTTAACATTTTTTGTAGGTAATTTTGGTGAATGTTGACATGTTTTTGTTGATTGTATAGTAGAGCAAAACCCGGCTATAAGTAAAGGTTAATAATTAGTGTCCGACCGAATATGGATTTTCAGACGAAAACGAAAACGAAGCTTCGGCTGCAGTCTCATTTTCGGCCGAAAATGAAAATGTCCTTCAACTGTCAAATTTCAATCTGTTTGCGATCAAATATCCATAATTTTCAATGCTTTTACACTTTTGAATCGTTTAAGTAGGTACTTAGTCTTGTAAACAATATGAAACAATATTATTATGTAAAAACTTCGAAAACCGTAAATATTTTGACAAAAAACGTCATATTGACGTTTGACAGTTGACGGACGGATTTTGATAAGGTTTGATTATGAAAACCAGCATTAGACATTAAAAATTGAAGATTATTATGAATTCTTAATGGAATATTATTTCCGGTACATGAATACACCTTTCTAAAATAGAGTCCTGTAGTTGTAGCCGGGAAGCAGTTGCAGTTGTGTTAGCAGACAATTTGTGATTCGTCGCATTTCAAATATTGCTCGCTTTGTGGGCTCCCAATCAGTGACTCATGACGTATTTGAAATCCGCGTTATTAGACTCCATTTTGAAACAATTAAACTTAATGAATACTCTTAGACTTTATTTGTATTCTATTTTGAACTTGAAAAATTCCCGCAGGAAACCCTTACACCATAACCTCACTTTACAACTTCAAAACAGTAATTGGAACCATGAGTGCACCCGATTCACTTCGAAGATATCCGATCGTCATACACATACGTCACCATCTTATTCACGTATTTCTGATATTCGATTTGGCCGAAGCTTCGGCTGGTTTTTGGCCGAAAACGAAAATATCATATCATTATGGCCGAATGTCCATTTTTTGGCCGATAATGAACGAAAACGAAAACGAATATTCGGTCGGTCACTATTAATAATATTCGTTCAAAAGTTTCTCAATTATTTATGAATGCAAAAAATAAATGACGTGTTAATTCTTTTATGAATTATTAAAATTATTATTTCATTTTTATCTTTTTTTTTAAATTGATATTTTAAATCGATACAATTTTATATTTCAGAAAAAATAATTATCGTACATCCCTTATGCCTCATAAATTTTCCATCATTTAAATCGATTTAAAAGTATCGTTTGAATCTTTATTCGAGTAGTAAAGTCGATTATGAGAATAATAGAAAGAGGTTTAAAATGATCGTGAATATTTTTGATTATTATACACCGTTACCCGTAATACCCATAATGAAACAAATATTTAAATTTTGAAAGTCTTCAATAAAGTAAAATTGATTTAACAAACAAAATAAATGATTATACCGAAAAAAATAATTGTAATAATTTCAAAAAGAAAAACGTCGAATTTTTGAGTCAATTGATTTATAATAGCATAAAAATTATCGAATGCCTTCTTTTACATACCTACCTATTCGATTTTAATCGATGTTTGTATTGGGACCCGACATCCCTACCATCGAGAATAATCTTCTTGTCTTGACTTGAGTCTTGACTTTTTTTATTTTTTAATTGCGTTGCGCTGTCGGTGTGCGATTGACGATTGTCAAAAACATTGTCTTCTTCTCTTTTATTTATTTGTAAAGTTTTGTGTGGTTTAGTTTGGTTTCCTTCTTCTTGAGCTTCTTTTCTCGCCTAGAATTTGGTCCAGTAGATAAACGGGACTGAGTGATGTCTGAATTTGGTAAATTTGGCCCTTTGGTTGGCGCTATAGATGAGGGAACTTCAAGCGCAAGATTTATTATTTTCAAAGCAAATTCAACGGAAGTCGTTGCATCTCATCAAAAAGAACTAGAACAGATATTTCCTCAAGAAGGTTGGGTAGAACAAGACCCTTACGCCATTTTAGAAGTTGTAACAACATGCATACAAAAAGCTGTGGAACAACTGGAGACTCTTGGCGGGAAAGCCAAGGTAAGTACATAATATCAAGACCATTCTGTTGATTTATTTATTTAATTTAAGCACCGTAAATTGGCACTTAATGTCTCTTTTTGGTTGTCTTATGTTTATTTCTTTTTCTCTGCATTCTGATTACATAATGCATTCAACAATTAGGTGCAGCTTGGCTCAATGTAGATTTTTGGTACCTACCTTGTTCAGTGATGGTTGACTTGTGGCCAAAAATTGCCAATTAAAGTCAATTGAAACAAGCAGTGATTTTGGTTTCAATGTGAAAATAATTACACAAAATAAACATAATTTCATAAAGAATATTGCTTGTTGTAAATAATCTGATGACCTATTTTAACATGCTATGTGTGCTGCGTAGTTATAAGCTAACTATCTTGCAAATATGCGAATTTTCAAGTTTATGCAGCGACTTATTGAATCATGGTTGCTGATATTTTTTTTATTGTTGGTTCGTTCATTCATTCATTTCAGCCGAAAGACGTCCACTGCTGGACAAAGGCCTTTTTATTGTATTAATAAAGTATTAATTTCTGTAATTTGTTGTTTTAGTGTGCCAAATAAATGTATTTTCTTTCTTTCTTTCTGATAGTACTACAGCAGCTAAATATTATCTATGACATTTATCATTAAGCATAAGTCACTACTATGAAGCAACAATGCGCTATATCAACATTTTGTATATTTGTGTTTCGAGCTTGGCAATGTACTTTTTCATATTGAAGTTTACATGTATAATAATTTATTAGGACTTAATAGCGGTGGGTGTCACCAACCAACGAGAAACTACCATAGTGTGGGACAGAAACACCGGTGTGCCATTACATAATGCCATTGTTTGGTTGGATATGAGGACCAAATCAACCATCGATAAACTTCTCGATACCGTGCCAAATAAGACAAGAAATAAGAGTTATCTAACAGTGAGTAATTTTACTAAGTTAAGAATAACTTCATTTTATAGCTGATATTAAATATATCATTCTAGGATATCCAATAACCTTGTATGTATGTGTCATATACAAGACTGCTTATCTATTTGTTAGCTTACTATTAATGTTCAGAATTATCATTTATAATTCTGAGGCAATTATCATTTAATATCCTGTATTAAAGTTATCACCAGTTACTTATTATGGGGCAATATTTATATGATTAACGTGAAACTAGGCCTAATTTTATCTTGTATAATTCTGATGTTTGCCATCGTTTGGAAGTGTTTGGTATATGTGTCACTGTAAAATTGTGAATTCCGTCAGCTTATAATCTGATATAGTTAAATTAGTTTCACATTGACTTATTACGCACCTTGAGAAGAGTGACTATTTAGTATTTCATTGCCAGAAGAAACTTTTAATAAAATTATAAAATATTTTGAAGATTTTTAAGGAATGAAAACTATTTAAAAATGTTTTTATTTGTTACAGCCACTTTGTGGATTGCCTATGTCCCCATATTTTAGTGCTGTAAAATTGAGATGGCTGAGTGATAATGTGGATGCTGTTAAAAATTCCATGAAAAAGGGTACATGCTGTTTTGGAACTGTTGACACTTGGGTAATTTGGAATTTGACAGGTAACTTACTAAAGATTTATCAACATTAGCCTGACAAGCAAAAAGTCGTGAGTTCGATTCCCGCCTTAGGCAGTTCGATTGTTTAATGTTATTTATTATTTATTTTGAGAAGTGACTAATTGCTAAGAAATTTTAATAGCTATCTATCAACATGAACACAATAATGTTTTTCTGATGAAAATGTATAATTAATTAAAATGTGTAAAATAAACAATTCCAGGTGGCCCAAATGGAGGAAAACATGTTACAGATGTCACTAATGCTTCAAGAACTATGTTAATGAACATAGAAACTTTGGAATGGGATCCATTGTTGTTGAAGTTCTTTGAAGTGCCTAAATCGGTTTTACCTGAAATCAAATCAAGCTCAGAGGTATTTACACTTTTCCTTTCTCTCTTTAGCCTGATGCCTAAGCTACATCATAGTGTCCTTTGTGATTCACTATGCTGTAAAGTAATATGATCTCACTGGCTTACATAAGTTGTTTATTACTTGTTGTTGTTATTGTTGTTTTAACTCAGTGTATCAGCTGACACTGATCATAAATGGACTAAGTCTTGATATTTTCATAAAATGTGTTTCAGGTGTATGGGTACATACCGGAAGGACCTTTGAAAGATGTTCCCATTTCTGGCTGTCTCGGAGACCAACAAGCTGCTTTAGTTGGACAAATGTGCCTACAGAAGGGTCAAGCCAAAGCAACATATGGCACTGGTTGTTTTGTACTTTACAACACGGGAGAAATCAGAGTAAACTCCAGTAGAGGGTTGTTAACTACTGTTGCATATCAATTGGGAAGTAAAAACCCACCACATTATGCCTTGGAAGGATCTGTAAGTATTATTTAAATAACAACAATAAAAATACATATCTAGAAAGTTCTGTTACGAAGAAAATTTTCCACAAAGTTCGTAACTTTAGTACATTATTCGCGATAAAAAAGTCGTAACATTATTATCTCTCAGCTTAGCGACCGGATAAAGTAAGGCCTTCGGTAAGGATGCGTCTTACATGATGTGAACAGATGAGTAGGCAACTGCTTTGTGTTGCAAATAACATTCAATTTAACTTAATATTTTAAAATACTGCTTAGTAAGAATTTTGTATTGGTACAATACTTAATTATCACCATTTTCTTAAAGCGAATGAACTATAGACTGCCTACCTCTAAATAAAATAATGCCCACCAACTGAGTCCGCTAACTTTTACTTGATTTAATTTACTTTTAGGTAGCCATTGCCGGAGCTGCATTAGGTTGGCTGAAAGATAACCTAGGGCTTTTGGAGAGTGCCAGAGATTCACAAGCTATTGCGGAACAGGCTACAGTTAATGGTAGTGTGGTATTTGTACCAGCTTTCAGTGGATTGTATGCACCTTATTGGCGTCAGGATGCGAGAGGGTAAGCAAGTCGTTCACTTGGGGCGCCTTCAAATAGCAGACGGCAGTGTGGTTGTTTCAAAGCAGCAGATTCAAGTATCATAGTGTTGTCAAATAGTAATAAGAATAACCCAAAGTGACCAAAACGTTGAACCTTATTCCAATTGTAATGAAGACTTTTGGCTACTTTGGGCGTCACTAACTATTTGATGCTGACTATACAGAAGACAACATATCAAGTTAAACACCGTGGCATCTAATTACATTTACATTTATTTATTAGGCCGGTTTCCACCAAGGCGGATCGGTGCGGAGCGGAGCAGAGAAGTTTTAGGAATAGCCAATCAGATTCCAATATTTGCACATCAACATCTCCACTCCGTCCCGCTTCGGGGTAAATGGATCGCGCGGAGAAGAGCAGAGAAGTGTCGGGCGCAATCATTGTTTTTCTATAGAATTTGACAGCGGCGACGGCGCGGCGCGTAGTGCTGCGGAAAGGAGCGGAGATGTGCGGAGCTCTGCGGTGTTTCATAGATAGTACCTAATAGAATGCTACGCACAGGTCACACAACTCTCGTCTCCGCTCCGCTTTAGTGGAAATAGCCTGCCTGCTTAGCCGCACATCTCTCATCTCCGCACCGCTCCTCCTTGGTGGAAACTAGCCTTAGACTGTAATCTTTGTCTTTGGCTTAATCAAAGGTTACAGCTTGATAGTTTGACATTCTGTTTACTACATATTTTATTACTAGAAAGGTCGAGACTATCTGGTGTCGGTTTTAATAGCCTATTATTTCTTTTGTTTGCTACTTTTATTATTTAAATACATACCTACATTATTATGCTAGAGATAACTGAGAGATAAATAATTTGTATTTCAGTGTGATTTGCGGAATTACTGAAGACACTAATTCTAATCACATCATTAAAGCGGCACTGGAAGCAGTTTGTTATCAAGTAAAGGATATTTTGGATGCAATGAATCGAGACTGTGGTATTCCTCTTCAGTTTTTAAAGGTAATTTTAAATAATAATATTATTAAATAGCGAGCTTAACTTTAGTTCGTTTAAGCTTCGAAAAAACCAACGCGTGTGCTATGGCGACGGCGATGGCGATCAGATTTCGATGGGTTCACATTAACGCGTCCTGTCATTCGTCGCGGCGATCTATGCAGCGTCTGTACGCGGCGATCGGCGATCAGATCGATCGCGTCCGTTTGGCTGATGTTTACAGATCTCTATTCCTCTAAATGAAGAGATCTATAAACAAATTAAATATCCGACGAATGTAGTGCCAATAGGCAGGGAACCGACAGCCATTTGGGTTCTGCGATGGAGCGCATGTACCTGATATTATGATGATAAGGAATTAAATATGAATTTACAGTCTACATCTCCGTGGAATATTTCTTTCAAGAAAAAGAGTACTTGTGGGGAATTCTCAGTCTCTGCTACAATATCCAACATTCCTGTATGTGTTCACTATCTGTTATGTAGGAGACTATATTGTTCTACTATTTGCTATGAAATTCTCTATGAAAAGAAATATTGAAACTAGGAATATAAACAGCTGTGGTATGCTTTTTCTCTGTTGTATGCGAATATGCGATGCATTTTTTTTTGTCTATTCTGCTACTCGGCAATGTGTTTTTTTGTTTCGTTGGTTATTTTATTGGTACGGTAAAATTAAGTGGCTTTTAGGAGTTCTTTAGTTTGATTTCCTATCCATTTGATTGTCTTATTCTCATCTTCATGTTTATTTCTCTGTTTCGAATTTTAATTGAATGAAGAACGCTGACTGAAGAAATGATTACTTTTAAGATGAATTTACAACTGTTGTTCGTTCGTGTGATCTTGCTGGTAGTCGAGTGAAGTTGACGCGGGCCGCCCCCGCGCTCATCTCCAGGCTCCTTGCTCGTATACAACTTCAGACGTATCTGTGCGCTGATATAGCCGATAGATGGCGTTAACATTCTCTCTTTTGATAACATAGGTTCTTGGAATTTGTTGTTTATCTTGTAACTTAGAATATTTTGTGATTTCTAAGTTTTCCAGTTTTTTTTTAGGTTTCGATACTTACCAATGCTACGTTATTAGTTTTCTTCGCAATGAAGGGTCAGGGTAAAATTAACAGTGCTTCAATGTAGTATACATTGAAAAATGTAAGTCGTAGGTCGTTTTTACTACTCAAAAGAAGTAATAAATAAGTAAATATAAATCATCTTAAAATGTTCATGTATTGAAAGTTTTAAAGGATATTGGCTTTTAAGCAAAGATGTCAGACAAACCTTTTTTATTTGTCTTATATTGTTTACTACATTGAGATCTATCGCTAAGTACACACGGCCACACTGTTAACTATCCATTTCTGTTTTTGCTCTCGCTCTCATCAAATGATGATTCTTTGCAATAGAACGAGACGAAATGACAGGCAATGGATAGTTAACACTGTTGTCGGTGGTACATAAACTGTTGGATTGGATTTATGTACACACTAGCGGCCGCCCGCGACTTCGTACGCGTGGATCCCGTTTTTTCCCGTTTCAACCAATGGTACACTGTGATTCAAATACATAAAATTTCTTTATTTAATAAAATTTGAATATTAATTACGAACAGCGCTTGATAGATGGCGTTGCACGGCTTCGTCTTCCGCATGAATATTTTCGTACGTCAAAAGCAATGTTTATAGATGGCGCTTTTTTGTAAATATTTTTCACATCTTATTTATTTATTGCAATTTGGTTTGTCACATATCGTCATAAATTATAGCCTATATGTTATTCTGGGTTCTTCTTCTTCTTTTTTGTTCTTGGCAATACTCGTCGAGGCCGACGTGATTTGTGCCATTTTCATGTGAGTGTGGGACGAGTTAAGAAGAGGGACCAAGTNCAAATACTTAGATCTAATTGCCTTTAACCCGTGAAAAAAAAAACATAGTTATGACTCGATTGTCGTAATGAACGAACTTTGTAAACCTTGCAGGTTTGTACGGAACCCTCGGTGCGCGAGTCCGACTCGCACTTGGCCGGTTTTTTTTTTATGTTTCTGCTCCATGGCAACCTGTTTTTCAACAATAAGCCACTTCTTTGGTTGATTCCTCAGATTATGTTTTCTTCGAGAGCCATACTTACGTGAAAATTCATTTCACACGACTCTCTTGATTGTTGTCAAATTCTAAAGAAAAATTCTTCCGTCCGATACTTCTCTGCTCCATTTTGGTGGAAACCGGGCCGATATCTATTAGTCAGTTTGGTTCTACCAGTTTTTAATTTTTTAAATCAAGTCTGAGCATTTTGTAGTTCAAACAAGTTATTTGTTCAGGCGACAGCACATCGACGACAGTACTGTGGCACCTTATGTACGAATTTATTTACCTTATGTGCTATACCGAGGAAGCTTCGACATATAGACGTCTTGCCGCACGACCTTGGCCCGATGACGTGACACTGGTAAACATTACGACTGGATTGTTTCTTGGCAATGTCAACTTTTTTCTCACGAGTTACTAAAAACCACATAACAAGTTAATGAAGTCATCGTTATTCTAGCTAGACTATAAATGTGGGTATGATGTGATCAAATCATATAACTTTACTTACTGTGTATTGCAGATTTTTGAGTCTCATTTTCCAAGAAATTAAAACCTAAATATGCTAAGTAAGCACTAGTGTTTTGTAAGTCTAATAATGTCATTAGAGTCCATCTACACATCCATCCTTGCAATGTCAAATATCCCTGAAAAAGCACCAAATATGAAGATATCAAGTTTCAAATGAGCTATTTAGTAATGAAAACATTTAAGAACAGTCACAAAAATAAATGTATACCTTGTCATTAGTTGGAACTGTGTATCGTAAATTATGCCATGGTATTCTGGGACAGCATGAGAATACATTCTTCAACTCTGTTGGGTTCAACATGCCATCTTTATCTTTGTCATACTTCTCAAACAGCTGTGTCAGGAACTGTTGGCCTTTATAAGACAACTCTGAAGTACAACCTACTGGAACCTTAATACTGAAAGTTTATGAATTATTTTTATAAATTTTGAAGGCAAATTTTATTATTGTGGAGAAAACAAAGTAGCAGGACATCTATAAAAAGACCTAAAGGATAGCATAGACCCAAAATATGCCACATATTTAAGGGTTAAGGTTCAAAACTAGTAGTAGGATTAAGTTTCTCAGTAAACAATGAGATTAGTGATATCTGTGACAAAAATTGGTTAAATAGGATAATACAATACTTACTTAGCATATAAGTAACTATGTGTTAACTCTAAACTTTCATCATATCCAAACTTGCGTAGAACTGTCCAAGTGGTTTCATTCCTTCCCCTTTGTATGAACAAGCAATGTAAAAATATAAATCCTTTTATTGTTATACACTCATTTTCAATTCCACCAGCAACATTTTGGGCAATTACTGACTTTACTTCATCTAAAACCTGCAATATCATATGAACATTATTATTGGGGTCAGCCTTGAATATAATTATTTACTTTCGTAACCATTTCATACCTGCAATTGCAATGGTGTGTCAAAACATTTCCTCTGGAAAACAGTCACTTCGTAATCATCTAAAAGGCCATCTCCATCTAAGTCACAGATCTTAAAAATTCTGGATAGTGCTCTTTTACATTTCTCTGTCAACTGAAACAAACAGAAATATTGAAAAACTCCTTTATCAGCTGCTGGTGGTTTCATGTAGGTTACCTACATCCAAAAAATATCTCTGTAAGCAAACAATCACCTCTTGCTCCTCAATAGAGTAAATTGGACTTATAGGATGTAATACAGCCTTTTGTGCATTGTAAAACATTTCCGATACATTTGTCAGGGTTTTTGCAGAACATTCTATGCATCTATCCACCTCCGGGTACTCCTCAGCTATATCCCAGATATTCTGAAATGTAATTTTTATAAATTTTTGCACAAAAAAAAACATGTCACTAAGTGCATGCATTATAAAACTTTATCAGCAAAATCATTGATTACACATTATCTTAATGCAAATCACATAATATGATATTAGTATTTTAAAATACTTACATCAATAACTGAATAATCAATCAAATCAATTTTGTTTCCAACTAGAATTACTGGTTTTCTAATATCATCTGGGCAGTTATCTCTAACGAAGGGCAGCCAATAAGAAGCTATTTTACTTAGAGTTTCTTGTTTGTCTACAGAAAATACTATGCATATAACATGTGCTTTCTCTATTTCTTCAGCTACTTGCTCTAAAGATTGCTCTGCAACTGCAAAGAAGACATTCCATGAGTTTTTAGGGTCTTATATTACATTTATTAAATATTATGTAAATCGGTAAAAATAAAAATGAATTATCTCCAAGATAAAAATAATGAATCCAAATAGGTTGTTTCTTCAAGTCTGGGCGAATCTTTGAAACTGTTTCCTTCCTGACTGATTGGTTAATCCTTGCTCAATTTCTAGGAATGAGCGTATATTCAACCTTATAAACCAAGTTAGGTTTATTCAGCTTAGTAGAGATGAAACGGATAGTTGTTTGGCCGGATACCGGATACCGGATATCCGGCGAGCTGCTAGGCCGGATAGCCGGATATCCGGCGGCCGGATAGTTGTCCCATTGTCGTGTTGCATGTCGTAACGAGTTTAGCGCCGCACAGGTGCTTCAAACGCGATCAGTGGGTCTAGTAGACTAGACAAGTCACACTTTTCGAAAATCGAATCTGTTTGAATAGAATGTCAGATTTTGACACTCGTCTAAAGGGCAGATCGATTCGGGCGATATCGGTTGCCATCGTGAGTATGTGATTGAATAGCGAAAATTCAATTAGTTTACTTGCTGCGTAATCTGACTGAACTGCATTATACAGGGTTACTTTGAAATCGTTGGCATTCCTTTCAAAATAAGACTTTACTCATCATTCCCCAAATATGAGTCATATCAAATTAATTAAAATTTCAATATTTGAAATCTTGTACAGACGACAGCACATCAATCTTCATTCTGTGGCATCTTATTTCAATGTGTTAAGTGTTATTTTGTATTGTTCTATTTAAAATTGGCTCAGTAGTATTTCTATGACATGTATTTGACCACTGACATTTTTTTTCTCTTGTTTAGTGTTTCTTTAAATTATTTAATGTTCAATACTCAATATTTTATTGCATCCATTATGTACTTAAAATTAGAACATTATGGGCCATTTAATTTATAAACTGCATGTATTTTATTTGTGACCTAAGTGTATGATATGTTTATTTTATTTTTAAGCTTGTAAGCGCTTTGGACCTGCTCTGTAAGCTTACAAGTGTTTTGCATTAATAAATAAATAAACAAAATGTATAGGATGATCTGCTGTTGACTGTACAATAGTTTTAAACTCTTTTTAAGAGCACACTAATACAAATACATAGTTTATTTTATTTATTAGGACAACCAAAAAGACAAACACGCATACGCATATAACTAGAAGTGCTTAGAACTAAGTAGTTAAAATAATGACAAAAAATCTCATTGGATTTGTCTCATATTTGGGGAATGCACTATGTCTTATATTAAAAGGATGCCAACGATTTCAAAGTCATCCTGTATGTCATCAGACCATCAGTGAAAAAAAGATCGCCTATTTTATTTGGCAATATTTCGACATTAAAATATATTTACTATATTTATGTATTCGTCATTAGAGTGGATAGCCCAGAAAGGAAATTAGTTTTTTGAAAGGCCTTAATATGGCTTTTTTGTAACTTTTTGGACTTTAGATAAAAACCGTCATTATTATAAGCAATTTTATTGATATTTAACTCAAAGATTAATGTGTTTCATTTTATTATAGGAAAGGACAGTGCCAGGGTCTGGACCAAGTGTTGCCCAGAATCAACTCATAGTGCATTTTGTTCCTCAGGGATATACTAACGTGTAAATCGAAGCGCACTGAAATCTATCCCTGGAGTTAAGAGAAAAAAAGAGTTTTGTTTCGAATTATTTACATACAAAATATCATCGATGTATATGTACTACGCATAAGATTTCGCAAATTTGGCATTAAATAACACTCACTATGTTGAACTTAAGCATACTGCATCCGTACACGTTACTTTAGTGATTTAGTGCGATTTAGACATTCTTTATAAACGATCTAGCGCTGTTTTAATTGTTTGGTAAGTTAAAGAAAAACATTATTTCCAAAATGAAGCAAGAAGTTTTAGTTCTCTATCCTTGCAAAACATCTATTTATTGGTGTATTGCAATCGATTAATGAAGTTATTGTAAGCTAAAACTTCTTGCTCCATTTTGGAAATAATTAATTTCTGTCAACTAACCAAATTAGTGCAACAGCGCTTCATCGCTTATAAAGAATGTCGAAGTCGTACTAAAGTAAAGTGTACGGATGCAGTATGGTTAAGTTCAACATAGCGAGTGTTATTTAATGCCACAATGGCGAAATCTTATGCGTAGTACGTATACATCGATGATATTTTGTATGTAAATAATTCAAAACAAAACTCTTTTTTTCTCTTAACTCCAGGGATAGATTTCAGTTCGCTCCGGTTTATAAATCAGTATTGGCCTGAGGAACAAAATGCACTATGGTTTCATTCTGGGCAGCACTTGGTCCAACTTCCATACATGGATTGGCACTGTCCTTTTCGTAGCTTTTTAATATCCGGTATCCGGCCGGATAGTGAGCTACTATCCGGTATCCGGCCGGATAGTAAATTTAGGCCGGATATCCGGCCTACCGGATAGTTGCCGGATATCCGTTTCATCTCTACAGCTTAGCATACAATACTCTAAATTTATTTTACCTATTACTCATTTTTAAAACAATTAGGAATTAACTAGGAGAACTTACCACAAATATCAACTATGTTGGTTGGTACTTGCTCAGGTGTAACATCAGCTGGGATGGTGATCTCTTCAGCTTTAGAGGGCACATGTTCGGTAAACTCTTCAGTCACTAAAGATAGAATTAGCGAAGTTTTTCCAACACCAGGATCACCAAGTAGAAGAATTCGAACAGTCCGGGGTAAAGTCTCGTAAACCATTTTGTGAAGAAATGTTAAAATGTTCCGGTATTACGTAAACATAGTAAATGCGCTAATGTTAATGAAGTTTTACTTTTATTAACCACATATATCTTTTAATTCACTTACTTTATTAAATTTCTATTAATAATTCTTTGTATTTTGTAAATTACCAATATTTTATTTATCCCACAGATTGAAAATCGGTCGGCCGAGGCCCCAAAAAATCAACGCATCTGGCAAACTGCGACAGAAAATGTTGCCAGGAAGAATATTATCGTGACAGTAGTTGGCAACGTTTATCAGTTACACACTTTTTGTTAATATCAATCAGATTTTTTATGCTTTAAATCAAAGGCCCCTACAAAAAAATGGCAAAACGTAATAACATTGCCCCCAAACGCAATCCAAGTTGTTGGTTCTTCCCGGGTATTTTCCTTTAATCCGTTTCCCAACCCAACATTGGCAATGCACAAGCCGAGCGTGCCAAAAAAAAAAACAGCCTCCACCCCACAACTTGTCAACAAATAAATGTCAACAATGTCAAATATGTTCCACTCGTGTGTTTACGTTGTGTTATGAATAAATTTAATTATCTTTGTTAAAATGAGTTGCGTATTTTCTTTCAGTTATAAGTGATAATAATTAAATACTTCAGAATGGGAGAAATCAATAAAAAGCAAGCTGAATGGGAATCAACGAAGGGCTTACGTGAACCGATAAAAACCTTAGAGGTTAGTTTTTAGTTTCAACTAAATATTTTTAATAAACTGTTGGGTTTTTCGCTATACGTCTATGTGTATCAGTAAACGTTTGCTAATATTTATTAATGAAAGCCTCAGAATGTATCCCAATCAAACGTCTATATTATCGGGCAATCATGAAGACTGCCTATGCCGAAATGCCGGCCCATTTCAATGCATAGCGTCCCCTAAAAGGCTAGAAATAATAAATATCTACATTTAATCTCGCTTCTCTCCCAGTTATTAAAATATAAACGAGTACCCTTGTTTTATGCCAAATCAAATCTCATATAACTAAAAATACCACATGGTTGCTTCTATTTTTTTGTACAGACTATTGACATACATATAAATATAGTTCTTTTACTTGAATGTAAAGTAGAAACTGTTATTACTGTCAATGTAACATTATGTTAAAAACAATTATAAGTAGGAAAGGATTAATGCGGGCAAAACTAAGTTTCATATATCATTTTCAGGATAAATGGAAGCTAGTACCATCTTTTCTGCAAGTAAAGGGGTTGGTGAAACAGCACATAGACTCATTCAATTATTTTATTAATGTGGAAATTAAAAAGATTGTTCAGGCCAATGAGAAAGTGTTCTGTGATGCAGATCCTCTATTTTATATTAAATACTTGAATGCCTATGTTGGCACACCAGATCTGGAGGAAGGATTCAATATTACAAAGCCAACAACTCCACACGAATGTCGTTTGAGGGACATGACATATTCAGCACCCATCACTGTTGATATTGAGTACATAAGGGGTAATCAGAGGGTTATAAAGAATAAACAGCTTATTGGAAGGTAAGGATTTATCATTATCTTTTGTTTGCATAAATGCTTTATAATTACGTATGTATGTTTTTGTAGTGCTACATATTTTAATGTTTTATTTATGTATTTCATGTTTTGATTATCTTCAGAATGCCTCTGATGCTGAGATCTTCAAATTGTGTTCTGACTAACAAATCAGACTTTGAGTTGGCTCAGTTGAATGAGTGTCCCCATGATCCAGGCGGTTACTTCATTATAAGAGGTAATTTCTTGCATAACTATGTATCTATTCTCTTATTAAAGTCATTCCAAACAAAATGCTATATTTTTTATATGCATTGCAGGTCAGGAAAAAGTAATATTGATTCAAGAGCAACTGTCCAGAAACAGAATGATAGTGGATGAGTTTAAAGGAGCAATACAATGCCAAGTTACCAGCTCCACTCACGAAAAGAAAACTAGGACCAATGTCATAGTGAAGAATGGAAAATATGTCCTGAGACACAATGCATTGTCTGATGTAATTTTTCTTTTCTTTTATACCTACTACTGTTATGTAAAATAGAGTTATTATTAGACATAGTGGTTAATCAATTTCTTGTATAATTAAATTAAACTTTTCCTCAACAGGATATCCCAATTGCTATTGCATTCAAAGCCATGGGAATCTGTAGTGATCAAGAGATAATGCAATTAGTTGGAACGGATGATACAACTATGAAAAAAATGGGCCCTTGCATCATGGAATGTCATAATTTGAAAATATTTACACCAAACCAAGCATTGGGATACATTGCAAGTAAATTGAAAGTTAAAAGGTATTTAAAAAAAAATAATATTACAATTTGAAACTATTCTTCAGATTTTTAATAAATATTGTTTTTATAGATTCCACACCGCTCATTCCAAATTTCGCACCCCCATTGATGAAGCCAGAGATCTTTTAGCAACAACCATACTTGCTCATGTTGCTGTAGAAAACTACAATTTCTATGTCAAAGCCATATATTTGGCTATTATGGTGAGAAGAGTAATAGATGCAGAAAGTAACAAGACTGCTATTGATGATCCTGATTATTATGGTAACAAACGACTGGAGTTGGCAGGCTCTCTGCTAGCCCTTATGTTTGAAGATCTGTTTAAAAGATTTAATTGGGAATTGAAGTCCATAGCTGACAAAATAATACCCAAAGTAAAAGCAGCACCATTTGATGTTGTTAAATACATGAGACCTGATCTCATTGCAAATGGCTTGTTTGCAGCAATATCATCAGTAAGTGTTTTTCATCATATAATATGTCTGATCCAACAATAATTGTTGTTGAACTCTCCCTTTACTCACAGTGCCATAAAATAACTTGTCTTATTTCTTTTCAGGGTAACTGGACCATAAAACGATTCAAAATGGAAAGGCACGGCGTCACTCAAGTGTTGAGTCGTCTCAGTTACATTTCAGCCTTGGGTATGATGACTAGAGTTAATTCTCAATTTGAGAAAACTCGAAAAGTGTCAGGACCTCGATCTTTGCAACCTTCTCAATGGGGAATGTTGTGCCCATCTGATACACCTGAAGGAGAAGGCTGTGGTCTTGTCAAAAATTTGGCCCTGATGACCCATATCACCACTGAATGTTCAGAAGATCCAATCGCAAGACTGGCTTGTAATGCTGGTGTTGAAGATGTGAGATTGTTAGGAGGGGAAGAAATCAACCACCCTGCAGTTTACATGGTGTTTCTCAATGGTTGGTTCTTTACCTACACTGCACAATCAATTGTAAATACATAGACTCATGATTACTATCTTATCTACTAATATCCTTTATTTTTAGGTAACATCCTGGGCGTTTCAAGACAATATAAAAGACTCATTCGCGTGTTCCGAATGTTTAGACGTCGGGGGCTCATCTCTGCTTTCGTCTCAATTTACCCAAACCATAACCAAAGAACTGTGTACATATGCAGCGATGGCGGCCGCTTGTGTCGCCCTTACATCATCGTAGAGAAAGGGCACCCATTAGTTCAACAATTTCACATACATGAACTAAACAGAGGGATTAGAAAATTTCAAGATTTTCTTAATGATGGGCTCATTGAGTACTTAGATGTGAATGAGGAAAATGACAGCCATATAGCTACAAAGGAAGCTGAGATTGATCCCTATGTCACGACACATCTTGAAATAGAGCCTTTTACTGTTTTGGGCGTGTGTGCTGGTTTGGTGCCTTACCCTCATCACAACCAAAGTCCTAGAAACACTTACCAATGTGCTATGGGCAAACAAGCCATGGGTGAGTACATGCATTATCTTGAAAACTCTGAATGAATTAATAAGTAAACTTATACCATTAATGCTAATACGTGTTTTCTTTACCAGGTACAATTGGCTACAACCAAAAGAACAGGATCGACACACTTATGTACAATTTGGTGTACCCCCAGTGCCCCATGGTTAAAACGAGAACAATAGAACTGACTAATTTCGACAAATTACCTGCTGGACAAAATGCAACGGTCGCGGTCATGAGCTACAGCGGCTACGATATTGAAGACGCACTGATTCTGAACAGGGCTAGCATCGACCGCGGGTACGGTCGTTGTCTCGTGTACAAGAGCGCCAAAACGACCATGAAGCGGTATAGCAATCAAACATCTGACAGAATCTTAGGTCCGTCTAGAGACGCCAGTACAGGAAAAGTCATCAGAGCCCACGAAATCCTGGACACAGACGGCATAGCCGCCCCGGGAGAAATGGTCGAGAACAGGCAAGTTCTCATTAACAAGCAGATGCCTCCAGCGACGTTGAACCCGGTTGCTCAGGGCCAGCCGCAGTCGGTGGACTACAAAGATGTGCCGATAACATACAAAGGGCCAGTGGAATCGTACATCGAAAAAGTCATGGTGTCATCGAATTCTGAAGACGCTTTCCTTATCAAAATTTTGTTAAGACAAACCAGAATTCCAGAAATTGGTGATAAATTTAGTTCCAGACACGGTCAGAAGGGAGTGACAGGACTGATTGTCCAACAAGAAGATATGCCTTTTAATGATGCCGGCATTTGTCCAGATATGATCATGAATCCCCACGGCTTCCCGTCTAGAATGACGGTCGGTAAAACAATTGAATTGTTAGCTGGAAAAGCTGGATTGATGGTTGGCAAATTTCACTATGGTAAGGTTTGAACAAACATCAATGATAAATGATTTGTATGGTTTTTTTTACAGCTTATTAATTTCATTGTTTATTTACAGGTACTGCATTTGGTGGTTCGAAAGTAAGAGACGTGTGTAATGAACTGGAAAAGCATGGATACAACTATCACGGAAAAGATATTTTCTATTCAGGCCTGACTGGAGAACCACTAGAGGCCTATATTTATTCTGGACCGGTAAGTGCTGCTCCTTGTCTCTTTTCACTTATGAGATAGAAAAGTCGAAGAAATTTTCAGTCGTTTGCTTTTTTTATTATATCTACAGTACCTATCAAAAGTAATGAGACATAAGATTATTTCTCTTATATTACGAGTATTTATTATGTAAATGTAGCGTTATTTTTTTCCAATCGTTACAGCACATGAGGTAAAATATACCTAAGTGTATAAACTGGTTGTTTGTTGTCAGGTGTATTACCAAAAGCTGAAGCACATGGTTCAGGACAAGATGCACGCGCGCGCCCGCGGCCCGCGCGCCGTGCTCACGCGCCAGCCCACCGAGGGCCGCTCGCGCGACGGCGGCCTCCGCCTCGGCGAGATGGAGCGCGACTGCCTCATCGGTTACGGCGCTAGGTTGGTATATGCCATCTATAGTAGAACTAGCTTTCCGCCCGCGGCTTCGCCCGCGTGGAATTTTGTCTGTCACAGAAAAACTTTATCGCGCGCGTCCCTGTTTCAAAAACCGGGATAAAAACTATCCTATGTTCTATCCCGGGACTCAAACTATCTCTATGCCAAATTTCATCAAAATCGGTTGCGAGGTTTAAGCGGGAAAGCGTAACAGACAGACAGACAGACAGACAGACAGAGTTACTTTCGCATTTATAATATTAGTTGGGATTAGTTGGGATAATTAAGCATGTCTTTGAAATAAACACATTGGGGGCGTTTGGCCGAAAATAGCGCTTGTTAGAAATTGCTAGCAAAATGGCGATCGCAATGGCAACAGCCGAATACTGTTTTCGGCGAGAATACGTTTGCTAACTTCCTATACATTTTTTACCACTTGCTTAACAAGAACCCTTACGGTCCTGACTCGTTCTGGACTAGAGCACAGTACTGGATAGTTTCTTTGGTAAACCTATAGCAAAAATAACATGCATAATCATCTCAGAGGTAATTATTTAATGATTAAACAACATATTTTTTACACAACCCTAGTATTCTTATAATAAGCTGTTCAGGAAGTTTGACATAGATGAAGAATGAATTATTTTGCTTACATACCTCAACATTTCTTGGATTGAACTGCTCAACACTCATCCAAATATCAATAAAAACCTGTAAAACAGTTTCTGATCTCCACACCTCATTCCGTGACTGTGTCTGTGTTGAGCGCTTGTTAGAAATTGCTAGCAAAATGGCGATCGCAATGGCAACAGCCGAATACTGTTTTCGGCGAGAATACGTTTGCTAACTTCCTATACATTTTTTACCACTTACCGCTAAAAGGACGCCATTTTTCTTACTGGCGCTATTTTCGCCCAAACGCCCCCGTTGCCAAATAGTCCTTACATGCTCAATTGGTGGGCAGTGTGGGCGGGGCCTATATTCATAGAAAGTTGTTGAGTAGGTAAGCGGCCGATTAGTTAGTGGACTAATGATCTAGTGAAGGTCGCGGGAAGAGCCAGTCTGGATGCGGCCAGTGTTGTGGAATTCCTTGTCCAGCAGTGGACGTCTTTTCAAAAGACTTCCACTGATGACGAACACTGAACCACAACAAAAGCAGATTGTAGGTAATAATTTGGACTTTGGGCAGTCTGGGCGTGTGACTAGTAAGGACTAAAGAAGATTTGCGCGAGTGCAAAATACAATTTCCACGCGTACTACGAAGTTACTGGGCACAGCTACTAAATAGGCAAAGAGGAAGATACATGAATAGTCAAAACAATTTATTTTTCCAGCATGTTGCTGATGGAACGCCTGATGCTAGCGTCGGACGCATTCAGCGCGGACATCTGCGGCGCGTGCGGACGGCTGGCGTCGCGCGCCTGGTGCCACGCCTGCCGCTCCTCGGCCGCCGTCTCCACCGTCGAGATGCCCTACGCCTGCAAGCTGCTCTTCCAGGAACTGGCTTCCATGAACATCGTGCCCAAGTTGACGCTCAAGAAGTATTGTTAGCATGGACGTACCAGACTTCTTACCCAGCGGCGACAAATCAGATTTTTTAGGCAGGATCCGCTCTGACACATAACTCGATACGCCCATGATGTGGGCGTGTACCACCCGTAACCAAATGTTACGGCCTGCGCTTTTGAGCGCCTTTCTCTTGTAGTAGCTTCAGTGAATATTGCGCCTATGCTTACGCTAAAGAAGTGTTGTAGATTTCAAGTGTAAACGATAAAGTGAAGAAAATGACGAACATAGCTTTTAAGTATTTAATAAACACATTTTAATAAAATTTTGTATCATTTTACTTTGCAACACGCTATGACTATGTCTATTGACTGTTGTACTCTTCATCCCAAAGCTACACACATCCCGATATCCGGAGATTTGCGCTATCGCGATGTGAAACCGAGTATTCATAATTCGTAAGTATACATTTCGGTAACATGAGGATAATACATGGGTAAAGTAAATTAAAAAGGAATTTAGAAAATTACTTTATTCATTATAGTATAAAAATTACATTATTGTTGCATGATCCTAATCATTTTAAATACTACCTTAGTGATTATGAATAAAAACCATACAGTGAATATAAAAAATAAATAGGTGAATCCACTGAATGAAAACAATCGGAATATTATGTAGCCTATAGTCATCCATATGGCGAATGCTTGTGACCCGAGGCGTCTCAAGGAAAGTCGAGCGGGCAAGTTCTGACTCACGATGTTCTGATGATTTGTAAAATCCTTTACATACGTGTGAATAGTGCATGGCCGCTGCAATATTTCTCTGGCCATGAAACCCCAGAAATTATTTTTTGTCCATAGTCTTGAGAATTCTTCTTGGTACTGGAAAAAGAAATTAAAATTGTTAAGAAACCAAAATATAATATTGCAAAATGTTTAATTAATCTTTGAGTAGTAACCACAATAAGTTTAGTTGTAAAAAATGCTTGTTAAAACAATGGTGCATAAAGAAACTTACCATTTCATTTATTCTTGAAGATATTTGATAAAGCATTCGGACTAAAATTGTGCTTTCGTAAGACGATATTGGCATCAAATCTGGGTCACCCATATATTGAATTTCAGCGTGTTTATTACGAAGCTGTAAAGGAAGAAATTAAGAAATAATTAACGTTTTTTATCTGTTTCTAAGTTCCTTATCATCTCTATAAAATGTTATTATTATATTTTTTCTTCTAACCTTGTTTGTTATCATTGCCGGGAAATTTGTGGAGTTAGCAAATGAAGAGTGTTCTAAACTATCCTCAACAATTGGCTCGGTTGGCAGGACATTGTTTTCATTGATCTGAAAATAAAATCATCATTTTCAGTATTGGTTTGGAAATTCTATTACAGATAATAATTTGATCATTATAACACTTACACCAAAAATATCTGAGAAATAATGAACAGTGGCATTCAAGTAACTGGGCACTTTTCTGTATTCCTCCAGCAGAGCTTCGTCTTCTTCATAATTTCCCATCATGAACCAATGCTTAATGTTAGCCCAAACACCTGAAAGATAAAAAAAAGTAGAATCATAGCTCCAATAAGGTGAAAGAATATATTTAATAATACTATTTTTATAATACCAAAAAATTATTAAAAGTAGAATCATAGCTCCCAATAAGGTGAAAAATTATTTTAACAATACCTTCTTGTTGCTCATTAATTCGTCTGCTCACATCTTCAAGGTTTTTTTCAGCTGCTAATTTCGCAGTGTATATTTTCTTCAAAAAGTCCAATGACAATTGCTTTTTATTTTCACTCCAAATTGGTTCATATTCATAATTAGCCGAAAGGTTAAACTCCGATATAGCTTGCTTTGCTATTGCTACCCATTTATGAAGAGCAATTCCATTGTATGTATAGCTTTGATCAAAGGAAGAGTTGTAACTGTTGTTTTGGCTGAGGTGCATACCCACACTGTTGTCAGTAATTGCTTGTTCGAGATTTCGCAAAATTGGTACTAGATGTTGTTGGGAGAATACCTGCAATTCAAGATGAATAATACAAAGCCTCATGGTGTAAAGGATTTAGTATAGTATAATACAGATTTCTTTCATTAATCATTGCTTTGGTTGGTTACACCAATAGTTTTGGGCAAAAATGAAATATTTTAAGAAAAAGATTAAATGTGTAATAACTATCACCACCTACCTTTCCAAGTCTAAAAAGCATAACAGCATTCTTATGCGTAGTCAAATCCAATCTCATGAATCTAGGTAGCACCATTTGAAAAATGCATGTGTACGATGGAAAGTTCTCAGCTATGAACTGTGTGAAACTTGAATCCAAACTGTTTGCATTGCTTTCCTCTTGGTTGTTGTTAGAAAGAGGTAGTCTAGAAACAAATTAAAATAAAATAAGCCACAAAAATCTATTGTGATGAGTTATTGAAATACCGTTCCCGCATCCGCATCTATTTGTCGCATTCGCTTTGAAGTGAAATGGATAGGTAGATTAAAATTTTTGGAAAGCAATGTAAGGAAGGTTTTGTACCTGTCTTGATTTATGTTATTCTCAGTGTATCGCCATGGTTGAATAAGGCTCAACCAAAGCTCCATTACAAGCCTAAACGAAGCATCCAGGGGCCACGTGGTGACCAAATGTTTGACATAGCAATATGCTCGAGCGCACATTATCTGTCGCGCATACTTCCTCAATGCTGATGATCGTGACGCAAGGTCAGCTAAGTGTTTTGCGGAATAAGAATGGATGTGCTTAACAAGAACCCTTACGGTCCTGACTCGTTCTGGACTAGAGCACAGTACTGGATAGTTTCTTTGGTAAACCTATAGCAAAAAGAACATGCATAATCATCTCAGAGGTAATTATTTAATGATTAAACAACATATTTTTTACACAACCCTAGTATTCTTATAATAAGCTGTTCAGGAACTTTGACATAGATGAAGAATGAATTATTTTGCTTACATACCTCAACATTTCTTGGATTGAACTGCTCAACACTCATCCAAATATCAATAAAAACCTGTAAAACAGTTTCTGATCTCCACACCTCATTCCGTGACTGTGTCTGTGTTGAGGTGTGTTGATTACTCATCCCTGACAGATCAGATATCATCAATAGAGATGGAGAATACAGCGGTCTGTAAAATTAGGGTATAGCCATATTAAAAATACATTTAAAAAGTCAAATGTAGAAGAATTATATAAATAAAACAGCAAACCTGTTAGCTGTCTGCAAAGGAACTGCAATAGGCACCTTTCCAGTGTAATTAGGTATGTGGGGTAACACAGAAACATTTGGATCAGAAGGCAGAAAGTGCATAAGGTAATCACATGCAACAGCAAAATATACACTGTTCCAATTCTCCCATGAATTTTTACCATTATTATTATTGACCAAATATAATGCAAAGTTGAAGATGTAATAATCAAATGGATCTGAGGTAAATATAGGAAATTATTGTTATTAAATATACGTAACACAGTGTAAAATCCTGAAATAGTGATAATTTCAACACAATAGTTTAAAATATTAAGTAACACAGTGTTTCATTACATAATATTTTTCAAAGGATACTGAGTGCAAGAGCTACCACATTCAGGGATTGTGAGTCCAGGGTCAGCATGTCAGCATAAAACTGGGAATACCTTCCTCTCTCTAAGCACACTTGCAAGTCTAACTAAAAATGTAAGAGAAAGTTATATTATTGAATGTGAAATGGGCATTCATTAACTATAGAGTAAATAAAAAAAGAATTAAATAGTTACAGGCAAGACATTTAAGGGCAGGTTGTACTTCAGTTGTGGGTCCGTAAGGAGCTTGTAACACAGCCGTAACATTGGTCCTTGTGGCTCAAGGAAACTTGTGAGGGCTTCAAATTCATGCCTATTAGCATCATCAAATGTGATTGTTTTAAGGCCCCAGCCATTACTGAATGTTGTTGAAAACATACTATTAATTAGCTGTGGAAATATTGCTTGTAAATCCTTGTTAGGAGCTGATTGATCTATTATTCTTGTTAGCTCACATAGTTTTTCTTGCAAAGGAAGATTTAAAGTTGTATAAAACTGGCTCTGAAAACAAAATTATATATGTATTATAACTTTATAATACTAGCTATATAATACATGAAATTGAGGTGGATTTTATGTAACTCATTAAAATATCAAAGTATGAATGTGCATTGTTATAAAAAGAAACTGAAAATTATTTCACAAGAATTTAGACAATGAACAGTTAAATTATTTTAAAAGAAAGTAAAGGAATTTTGTATAATAGGTGAGTGGTTGTGTGGTATTAAACAGAGAAGTAACAGTGAATTTAGTCATAGATTGCACAGAAGTAGGATAACCTATAAAAGGTTATTTAAACATTTTTTACAAATAATAGTGAAATACTCTTATTAATTAACAGTCAAAACATTTTGTAACTATATACTAAGCTAAGCACAATGTTTGTTTCGGAGTGGTTGAGATAAATTCGATAAAAAACTACTATTTATAGAGGCTTTGTTCAGAACTGCATCGACATAATTTGTGAACCTACTTTGTTGTAAGTTCTTACCATTAAATCCTGTGCCATGGCTGTAAATATGTTACTTTACAATGTTAGAGTGTAAGTGATAACGTCTAATAATTATTTCGTATTCAATTTTATGTACGGCTAACAACTACCACAAACAAATTCCATTGTTGATTTGTGACTGACTGACAGTGGCAGTGACAACAACAAGACAATTACATTTTTTTACTCTGTGGAAAGCCTAGCCAGAGATTCTTCTTCTTCTTTTTTGTTCTTGGCAATACTCGTCGAGGCCGACTTGATTTGTGCCATTTTCATGTGAGTGTGGGACGAGTTAAGAAGAGGGACCAAGTNATTAAACTAGAAGACTTCTTACAAACCTCTTTGGATATTTCAATTAATTTCTGTGGGATCGTAGACATGTAGAACTGTGATCATTTTACATAAGCTGATTAAACAAACCCCAGGACCTAATCCGGTTACCGACATAAGAAAAATCAATAACTTAACGGCAATTAATAACTGGGTATGTAGTGAAGTAGATTGTTCTGAGTCACCGTAGGTAATTTTAAAACTTATTAATATGAAATAGGTGAGTCGAAATTGTATCGGTATTCCATTATTATTCGTTACTACTCAGCTATTGTTATAGAAAGTGAACTACATTTCACGCGATTAGTTTCTTTGTTCGAGTTCATTCAATAAGTAAACTCGACGTCATAACAAACAAACATATTAAGACCGCTGCCCCAAGTAATTATAACCGAAGGGTACAAAACAAATATTTAGCTAATCGTTGTTTAAGCGTCCGAGAATAATCTCTGTTTGCTTTACTTTATTAGGGACAATAGATTACGGGTAACCTTCGACACCAGTCAGGCGCTGCCCGGCCACGTATCGCCGCCGCCGCCCGACTACGGGCTAGATCCGACGCAATTACACGCCGCGCGAGCACGGCCCCATACGCTAGGCTGCTCACAGCTCAGTCGCCACGACACGCTCGCCCGAACTACACGTCTCCTCCAAGCCGACACAAAGAGTCAGAAATGACTCCATCGTGCGCGATCATCCTCGCGCTCCTATGCGCGGGGACCGCGACCGCCGATGTACTCCCGCATCCACTCTCCGACGAATTCATCTCGCTCATCAACACGAAGCAAAACACCTGGCAGGCCGGCCGCAACTTCCCGTTAGAAACTTCAATGAAACACATCAGGAAGCTGATGGGCGTATTACCCGACCAAAACTTGATGAATTTGCCGACGAGGGTCCATGACGACGACCTCATCGCGAGTCTTCCTGAAAGTTTCGACCCCAGAGAAAAATGGCCGGACTGTCCCACTCTGAACGAGATCAGGGACCAAGGATCCTGTGGCAGTTGCTGGGCCTTCGGCGCAGTTGAGGCAATGTCCGACCGTTATTGCACTTACTCGAACGGCACTAAACACTTCCACTTCTCCGCCGAGGATCTTCTTAGTTGCTGCCCAATTTGCGGTCTCGGGTGCAACGGTGGCATGCCGTCCCTGGCCTGGGAATACTGGAAACACGGCGGATTAGTGTCTGGAGGTAACTACAACTCGAGCCAAGGATGCAAGCCGTACGAAATTCCTCCTTGCGAGCACCACGTACCCGGTAACCGACTGCCATGCACTGGTGATGACTCAAAAACACCCAAATGCGTGAGAACTTGCGAGAAAAATTACAATGTAGACTTCAAGAAGGATAAGCATTATGGCAAGCACGTGTACACAGTAAGAGGAGGTGAGGACCACATGAAAGCGGAGCTCTTCAAATTCGGCCCCGTTGAAGGTGCGTTTACGGTGTATGCGGATTTGTTGTCTTACAAGAGCGGTGTTTACAAACACACACAAGGCGACGCTCTAGGTGGGCACGCCATTAAAATTATGGGCTGGGGTGAAGAGAACGGCATGAAGTACTGGCTGATCGCGAACTCCTGGAATACGGACTGGGGCGACAACGGCTTCTTCAAGATCCTGCGCGGAGAAGATCATTGTGGCATCGAGAGCTCAATCGTCGCTGGCGAGCCTTTGCTAGTTTAAACACTTTCTGCCTTATTTAGGAATAGATCTTATTTAAAACTGTCTTTCAATTATTGAAGCTATTGTTTTTGTACATAATAAGTCAAGTAATAACATGCCAAATATTAAAAAAGACTATTAAATTAGTGTATAATAACTCCCTGTTATTTTCTTATTAAAAGATAAAAATAACGCAGTTTCTGTTTCTCTTTGTAAGTCACAAACATAGTTCAATCATCTGCCAATAATCCCAAATATCCCAAGCACAACCAAACTAAATATTATTAAATAATATCCAGAATCTTAATGAAATTGTTTTAATATCAGGCACTTTATTGGTTATTGATTTTAGATGTCAAATGATTCTAGTTTATTTACTGAAAGTTGTCAATAAATAAGTAGGATGGAACAAAGGCGCATAATGATGATACCGTATTATTAATTTAACGAGCGAGCTGCATCATTCATATTGTTCACTGCCAGGACTGATTCACACTTTAGGCACCTTTAGGTAATACGAGTATAAGGCTATTTCCACCAAAGCGGAGCGGAGCAGAGAAATGTTTTGAATAACCAAACGATTTCATTTAGATTGAATGAAGTTGACAAGAGCGGAGAAGAGAGGATAATAAGGACATTTTTTTCTATTGCCAGCGAAGCCGAGCTGTGCAGAGCGGAGAGGAGAAGTATTTTGAATAACCAATAAGATTTCAATTGGTTCTTCACACAGATCACAGAAACTAAAGGGAGATGTGACAAGGGTTCGGGGGCCGGTGTCACAGCAATATGCCCAAAAACAGAACACATTGCTACAGACGTCATAATGTAAACAGTTTACATTCCTTGCGTACCAACACATACTGCTCCGCTCCGCTTAGTGAAAACCGGGCCTAAGACCATATTATAATACATTCCGTAGTAAATTGAAGTAACTCTGAGTAATTCAAGCCACATTATGAATTGCTCTTTTGTTAGCTCGTGTAACGGTTATACATCAAACTACTGTTTTAGAACAATCGAGAGACTTAATTGAATATGCTTTACACAGGTATTTGAGAATAATATGTAGGTATTTACCTACTATATGATTTTAAGTTCTCTTTTAAAAGTAGGTAGGTATATCACCTAAAACAGCTATGAAACAAATTACTGTCTCAAACTCAATACAATCGCGAGTCTAATAAATAACTAATTAGGTACCTACATTTTTATGTGTACCCAATATACTATTTTATTTATTTATTTAATTCTTTGTTATGTCTCAACAGCGTGCATTACATGCATCTTGCTTGATTGTGATCCGCTGGGAAGTCTGATAACATTTATTAAACCCATCAATTACCACAATTAACTATTTATACTTATTAACAATAATTTTATACATGATACGAGTTGCTATGTAGATGTAGGTGTAACTACTAATTCTAAAATGTATTTAAAAGCCCTCAGAAATCACAGTTAAACGGTTTGAGTTAGTGCCTAATTAATAATCGGTAAATAAACAAATTATTAGCTGGAATGTCCATCAGTAGTCTTTGTTTTACTTCCAATGTGTTATCTTATTATTCACAGTATTTTGATGAAAACATCCCGCCAACGCGAAGTGATACAACAACATGTGAGTATGACAAAATAATAAATAATTATCATTTAACTGTTATTATCTTTATCTTTATTTTATTAACCTCGATCTACTGAAGTCATAGAAGTTCATTTGTCTGAAGACTGAAGTTTCCATATAGATTAGATAGGTACTACATGGAAACTAGACCAAGCAAAAGTCAAATAGGTAGATACTTCGATTGGTTACTCGACTAAAGCTAACCATAATCCAAATTATTATCTACTATCGAAGTAACTTACCACATTTAAGATTCGACTTCTAGTCAACCTAGTCGAAAGTCCGATACCTACTAAGCTATTTAACTGTCGCAAACCAACCTACATCCTGTATAATGAAATAATCAAATAATGTAATGTTGACTTTTAGATAAACTAAATATTGCATAACAGCGAGTAATGTATTGTCCTAAAGTAAAAAAAATAGAAATACCTAAGTAGTCCAAAATATTCTCAAATAGGTTGCTTACATTTGTTTTAACCCTTTAGAGCTAAGTTATTGTTATTATCTTCTTTCTTTCATTATCAAGTTTAATTTAAATTAGGTTACTCAATGATTATGATGGGAACTGTTTCTCAGTTAATAAACGTAAGTCCTTCATGCAGTTGATGCAGTTTAGCGTATGTACCTACCATAAGGTATAAATAACCTTTTGTTCGTGATTCGTGAATTATGCAGGAACCTACGACAGTCTTAATATCGATATACTTTGTAATGTTACCTATCAATGCCGACATAGTCAATGAACTGTTATCACAAACTCATGACCTATCACGCAAAAAATAACAATTCTACTGTCTCGCTATCGAGCCACCTCGGACACTCATTCGACTGTATTTTGAATATGTATTTACTTAAATACCAAAATGGTTTTTCCCGTTTCAGCAACATTTTCATTGATGCTCTGCTTCTATTGGTAGTAGCGTGATACTTAGTACATAGAGTCTTTTTGCTTTCATCGTTAAACGAGCTAAGTATTTAACACAAAAATAAATTTTCAAATCGGACCATTAATTAGCGCATTCAACCTAACAAACTCCTCAGCTTTATAATATTAGTAATAGATATGTCACAGTCTACTACTATTCCTAGCTTCAAAATTAATCCGCGTGTAAGAAAGCCAATAATGATGTCACCGTTATAGTTTCCACTCAAATGTCAAGAAAAACGAAGAAAAAGTTGTGCCAATACAGAAAATTACCCACAATAACCGTTCCTATTAGTTCCCAACAATGGCAAGTGGTGAAAAGAAGTAGCATTGCGGCCTCAAATGAACCATTGTGTGGAGTTTGAAAGCCGTGTATTGAGTCCGGTGATTTAAGATTAAATTCCTTTCTTACAGCCCAAATCGGTTCAGCTTATGATTGGTTAACACGTCATATACTCGTACCTACTCATTTAGAACACTTACTTTTATTATTTGAAAATCGCTATTACTTGAATCGCCAGTTTCTTTGCTAAAGGTTTCATCTTTTTATCCGTCTTTGACTTAGGTCTATTATCTTCATAAAATTGATTTTATCTACGAACTCCTTGTCACATAGAGTAGATTTCTTCAGTTTTCACATTATCGGCATCATCACTTTTCATCAGGTGGTGGATACGGCCAAGAGTATCCTCGTTATGGATAAAAAATATTTTGATCTTATGAAGAGCTTTGTACATAAACAACGTCAAATAGTTTCAGACAGCTGGCGTTAGACATAAGCTTATTTATTAATAACTGCTTTTTTATTTTGAGCTATAAATTGAAGCACCAAAGAACGTTAACCAAAACGTGCAGCCCGATTTGCTGTCAACTGTACTTACAATGAGCGCAACTGCACTAAAGTGTCCTATAAATATTGCATACTTTTCCCGAGAGACGCATTACCCAGTAAATCCCGCAAAAGCTTCATTAAAGATCGAAAGGGAGCCATTTAAAACAGTACTCATGCATTCGCTACACATTAAAGCGACTTAACTCGGCGGGCACTTAAAATGCCTAGACCGCGCTTAACGAGTTAAAATTTTAATGAAATGCGAAAAACGAATACTTTTAATGTCAGAGTTGGCTTTGCAGGGGTTAAATAAGCGGCGTAACTTTTCCCGTTTTGACGAGCCCTAAAGAAATGTTTCTAATGGTACTTTTTATTGTAGGTATACATGCTTTTGTGTAACGATTTGCTAAAAAATATTATTTGTTAAATAATCATTGATGAATAAAACAAAATTTAGAAAGATATTAATTATTAGGATTCAATTTTTTTTTTAAGTTTTGTCTATTTCCAGTGTTGATCAATTTACAGGTAAGTAAATTAACCAGTGTAATTACCTACTTAAAGATCAATCTTAAAACGTAGCTGTAAATTACTTCGGAAGTAAATACGAGTATGTAATAGGTTTTGTATAAGATTACGTAGTTGAGACAATAAACTTTAACCAGATGTGGAATTGTGTAAAGCAATTGTAATCATTTGACAGTTCATAACGTACGATTATTCTGTCAAACGCTTTGTTTAACTGACTTTATCTTGTGCTTTATCGTACGTTATGAACTGTCAAATGATTACGATTGCTTTACACAATTCCACCTCAGATCTTTTTAATCGTGTTTACATAGTCTTTAGAAGTATCTGTCACGTAATACTGGGAAAAAATACGCAGTAAATGCTATCATTGTTGTTTTAAGTTACCCTTGTGTTGCTCATTGCCCAGCAAAATACTTCACAATCCAGTCTTTTAAGAGTAGATTAGGTACATAAAAAGAAAAAGAAAATTAAAATATAAATATAAAAATATGTGAAACTCTCGTAAAAGGTTCACCTGTGTTAGGAAAAATGCCAACAGTTTGAAAATAAAAGATAATTTGACTGGTGTATAACATTTTACTGTAACTATAATTAAATTTTCAACTGTACTTCACAAGTGTGTAGCCTTCAATTATAATCCCTCTTTTGAAGTACAGCAATACGAAATAATACTTACAAATCATATACAAACTAATATGTATTATAATTCTAAGATATCACAAAACATGACTTACCACTTTTGATTTTATACATTTTGAGGGTTTGACAGTTTTTTCATTGTTTATTAATCTAAATTGTTTCGATTGTCGATTGTCCGTTAAAAATATGTCATAAATTAAATGTGAATGAATGTTCTTAAATGATACTTATAGGAGGATACTACCAGACAGTTAACCTGTAAATCCCGATCCTATAGCCTATCTGCATAAGGTTTGGATTCGTGTGCTTACTAAACTAATCAGTTAACGAAATACCTACCTCTTGCGTACGAACATGCTCACGCAACGAATTTTCGCAAAATAATAGTTTCGGTCAGTATCCTCCATGTTACAATTGATTAAGGTTCATATTCTATTAATTTTAACTGAAAACTTAAAGAAAATTACATAGCAATAAAACTGTGATTTCATTTAAATGCTACACTCTATTAATATGAATTTACTGAAACTTACTATAATTTGCTTAGTGTGATAATGATAATATAATAGCAAGCACTAAAACTTAAAGTATAACATGTTCTGTATTTAATTACCGAAACAAATCCATTAACATTAGATGGCATAATATATTAAATGATATGAACATCTCTAAACTATATCTATCAGACTATCACATTACACATAACTATGAATAAATAAAAACATATTTTTTTAAAGCGAGCAATGTTATATTTTCTAAATTAGGAGGACTATCTGCGAGGACATTTATATTGTTATTCAAATGTAAAAAATGAACCTATTTTTAAGTATTTTCCCTCAAGCAGTCAAGAGAGTATATTAAATTTTATTGTATTAAGGTCCAAAAACAATGAATTTTTTTAAAGTTTTTTATCCGATTAAGGGTTAAAGAAATATGATGATCAATTACATACAAATTAATATCACGATTTATGAATACATAGTAGAATTTATTTGTAATATACGGTATAGCACCTAAAAACAAAAATAAAATTAATTTTGAGCGCGGCACACTTTCCACAGATAAAAATAAGGCTTTTTTGGCACAGTAATGACAGTAAAAATTACAACAATAATGGTTTATTATGGAAAAAAGGATTATTGAAACTTGAGACTTCATTCATTCAAATAAAGAAATAATACTCGTAATTACGCCAGCGATTTTATGACAAATGTCAATCACAAATTATCTACTATATAAAGATAAGTCGGGTTTTCCTCCCTGACGCTATAACTCCAGAACGCACGAACCGATTTCCACGGTTTTGCATTCGTTGGAAAGGTCTCGGGCTCCGTGAGGTTTATAGCAAAGAAAATTCGGGAAAAGGGGGTAAAACAGGATCCACGCGTACGAAGTCGCGGGCGGCCGCTAGTTATTTATAAAATAAATAATTAGGTATAAATAAATACTGTAATAGGTTAATTTAAAGTTCCTTTTTTATTTCGAAGTTATAATTCTTAAAAGAAACACAATCCGGTGGAAACGATTTAGTAATTGACTGGCAGATTGCTATGCTTAATTAATATTTTTTTCTTTTTCTGGTGATCACATTTTATTTATACGCTGCCAGAATTTTATAGAGATAAAATAATAATATATACTTGAGATCTTAATAAAAACTTCCATAGATCGTGAATTTTGTCTTTTCAGTAGTTAAAAATGAAACTACATTTTAAACTACATCTCAACAAACCTAGTAATAATAACAATAAGCAAAATGCATTATTTCCAATTACTTAAAATAATATTAAATAACGGAATGAATTATTAATTATTACTTCGCACTTAAACAGAAATCATAATAAATTTGCCCTTTATGATTATTATAATTAAATAGTGTTTGTCAAAAAATATCCTATTTCAACCACAATCACTAGCTAAACTTAACAACACAATACAATTAGTAAGTATAATTATTCAGTTAATGTCCGATAGTTTGAGAAATATGAACCAAACGATGTTTAATTGTTTCGTAACAGATACTAACAGTTGGTTTATAATTAGATAATCATTAATTAGTTTACCGAGAAGATAATTAGATGTGTTCAACAAATAAGTTACGGTACGGTTTCCAGCAATGTTCATGAAAACAATATGTTAATTAAATGCTTTACTATCCTTTGTCTGACATTTGAAGTTTCTAAATAAGCGGACCATCATATTTTACTTACAAATGGAGCTTAAATGGAACTCAAATGGTTTAACGAATCTATCAGAATATTCTGGTGGTTTAAATGCTACAATATTTTCAAGTTTATTAGGATGATATAAAGTTTTATGCACAATGATTCGAGTTAGGATATTTTGGAAACCATACACGATTTGAAAACTGTTTATACACTAAAAACAATTAAAATAAATTTAAAAACTGCAGTAACAGTTATCAAGTGCTCTGAAGATCTAACAAATTCTGATAACAAAATAAAATTCAAATCGAATTTCATCTTATTAGTTGATAAGAGCTATTTAAAGTTGTGCCATTTGAAATACAAAACAAACCAAAATAACTATATTGAACGATTCGCCGAAAAAAACCATGCAATTGTAAAGAAACGAAATAAGACAGATCGACGTGGTAACGTTGGACGAATACCAATATTCTACGTCTATTTCAGATAATATTTTATTCGTTAAACTAATATTTATGTCAAAACACAATGGCAATGCATGCATTGAAAAGTACATTTTTGTAAGACTAGTTTTTGTTTTGTCGCTTGAAAAATTAATAACGACAAAATATAGACGTCATTATACAATAAATTATAATACATATAATATAATTAGTAAATATGATTTATACAAATTGATTTTTATTACAGCAATATACAGGGTGTTAGGTAAATGGGTATATGAGCCGACACTAGCCCATGTTAACATGGGCATATAAATGGTATGGTGAAGTCAGAAATTTGATATCATTTTATTTTTTTAAATTTTCATACAAAATAAATTTTATAAAATCCGATTTGTATGAAAAATAAAATAATTAAAATTAAGATATCAATTTTCTGACTTCACCATACCATTTATATGACCATGTTAACATGGGCTAGTGTCGGCTCATATACCCATTTACCTAACACCCTGTAAAGACCTATCTAATAAGTTGGATCGGACTGTATGCATAATTCCAAGAAGCTTATAATACACCCCAAAGCATTTTACAGAATTGCATAATAATAATAATAAAAAAACAACACAAATTCCAACATGGATTCACATGTGTTGGATTGTAATGATTAAGTAGCTGCAGTTTTTGAGTGACGTTCTATGATACGTGCCTAAGTTAACTTAAGACAGTTTTTTGGCCTGCACTCCACCCAAAGGTCACTTAATATGACATGACGGCTCTCCAGTCATTGAGGCTATCAGCTCACTCCCAGTTTATGTCATGGAGTCGTACCTTGTATTTGTGACGATGGGATCTGTGTCGTCTTGCCTGAAGTTCAAGGCATTTCTGAAGCTGTCTCTGAGCCGTTCCGAGAATGTCTTGTAGTCTAAATGCGCCTGGCCGAAATCGAAGTCGGCGACCTCAATCGTGTACCTGTAAAAAAGTAAAAGTTATTTTGTAGCTTTTTTTTTAATTATGGCTTCATGCAGTTTGCACATTCAGCCAGTGTCGAGTACCTAATTTATAATAAATCAATTCTTATTATGTAAGCGGCCATTGATCCGGAATTGCTTAATTTTTTACAAGCACGCTGATTTGTTACTGCATATTCGTACTTCATTGTTGCAAATTACTTCTTGCAAAAATGTATATTAACAGAGATATTTTTTATTTACATACCTCGAACGGTGCTGATAATACGCCATTCCAAACACCACCAGGATAACAGCGAGTAGGCAGAACACCACAGGCACCACGATCACGGATAACTGAGCGTGCACCTTCGCTGTAAAATAGTAGAAATAAAAGGTAAATAGAGGTACAAGAAATAGAGGTATGGGAAATAGAGGTAGAAATTCACAGGTCTCTCATTTATTATTCTTAGAAAGTAACCTTAAATGGAGAATACTTGTGACAATCAAGACGGTTGGCGGCGTAAGTAAAAAATAAAGTAATGGACACCCAATCTTTGGACATCTAAAGCAGATGCAGCAGACCACGCGTGGCTTGAGCTCGTTTTATTTGAGTCCCATAATATTTATTTTCAACTAGCGACTCATCTCCGTTTCGCTTGTTATAAATAGTAGTCCTATTTTTTAGTATTGTGGTAAGGTCTGTGAAGAAGTCTTATACAGAAGCTCAAAGTTGCACAGCGTGCTATGGAGAGAGCTATGCTTGGTGTTTCTTTGCGAGATCGAATCAGAAATGAGGAAATCCGTAAACGAACTAAAGTCGCTGACATAGCCCGACGGATTAGCAAGCTGAAGTGGCAATGGGCAGGGCACGTAGTACGCAGAACTGACGGCCGATGGGACAGCAAGGTTCTGGAATGGAGGCCGCGTACCGGAAAACGCAGCGTGGGACGTCCACCTACAAGGTGGACCGACGACATCGTAAAGGTAGCAGGGAAGCGCTGGATGCAGGCCGCTACCAATCGATCAACGTGGAAAGCATTAGGGGAGGCCTATGTTCAGCAGTGGACGTCCTATGGCTGAAATGATGGTGATGATGATGAAGGTCTATGAATTAAATAAGTAACAACAATCAAAATGCTTAACAAACCTTTGTAAATATTTATAGTAGCTCTCTGGACAGCTTTAGTGACTTCGTTCTCTATGATCACCACAACTGTATGCTGGTCACTGCCCGAGAAGTAATGGATGATGGAAAAGTTGTTCGCTATCGTCCTGGCTTTGGCTGTACAGGTCTCGTTCCCAGTGATATTGTACTGGCCCTGCTTGTACTGTACACAGTAGTCGAAGGGCGGACTGCCTGTGTACTTTATCTGAAGGTGCAATAGCTCGCCACGCTGCAGCCAATTCAGTCCGGTAATGTTGATCGTGGAAACTGGAGCTGGAATGGAAATGTGCATCTTTTTCAAACTCAAGTCAGTTTTTGTTGATTAATTTTGTTTATTTAACAAAAAAACTGTTTTACAAATTAATAAGGGGAGTCCAAAATTATTACAGCAATATGCCATGGTAAATTCTAGAACATTAGATTTCCCATGCCTTGCATTTACATTATAACATAACAATAAATAATTATCAACATTTAACTACAATTAAAAGTTCATAAATCATTAGTTCACTTTTTGTTATCAGGTAGGTGACTCGTGATTAGTCGTGATTCACCCATAGATTAAATTATAGGTACTCCCAACCCACACTGTACCGATTAAAAACAACAAAAAAAACCATTTAGTATTTTAATCAACTAGGTCATCACAATTCTTTACCTTAAGCAATTATTTAAAAGTTTGCTCACCTCTAACGCTCAACGTTTCCTGATAATGTCCGTAAACATTTTTTTCGCTTATGGGCACAAAACTAGTGTTGTAGCAAATGAAATCTAGGGGGGCACTTTTCTGCTTTGCAGTGTGATTTGATACACTACGCTTTGATCTTTGGACAGCTAGAGTGTCATTTAATATTTGCTTCTCAGTAGATGTTGGAAGCTGTATCGTTGATGTTGATATTTTAGGTGCTTCTGTTGACTTTGGTGGTTTAGGAGTTGTAGTAGTCGTAGTGGTAGTAGTAGTAGTAGTAGTAGTTGTTGTAGTAGTCGTTGTCGTAGTCGTTGTCGTTATCGGCGGCAGTGGCTCATTATCAGCAACAACCAACGCTTCTATGTAATGATCAGACATTGCATCGTTGTATGTCAGGTTCAATTTAAAGTCCGTAGTCTGGTCTACGTACATACAATCTTTAAACCAGTATGTGACCACTCTCGATGCATTTTCTTTCAGAAACTCCAGCTCATTATCAGGCAAGACAACATAATGAGTCACTGTCTGGTTTACGGACACAAAATGGCTCTGAAGAGTTGAATTATTTTGATTCAGTATCAAATTTCCATTCAGTGCATCTGTAACAATGTAATTAAACATTACATTATTAAGATAGCTTTAAAATATGTATAGCATTTGGAAAATTAACATAAAAATTAGCATGCAATATCCATGTATCAGTGGAAAACCCAAATAAACATGTCATGTATAAGAAGATGCTACCAATATCTTTCTAGATTCATTAGTAAAAACCAGAGTTCGAAAGGATAATAATAATTATCAATGATAACTATCAAGAATTTCGATCATTTCGAACCCTGGTAAAACAACATTTACCTGTTAATTTAAATGTAGAAGATGCTACATTATCCCGTATCCAAAAGCCGAAGTAGCTTCTCATCAACTCCACAGTGGCAGTGTATTCTCCAGCCTCATACAAACTCCGTGGGTACTCCACAGTCCAGTTTATTTTGTCCGTTGAATTCTCAAACTGAAATAAATATGTATGAAATCTGTAAGCGCTATTGTACAGGATTTTCAAGTAATTAATTAGGTCATTAGTAACATAATTAAAAAATCTAGGTCATTAGTAAAATAATGTGAAACAATAGTGTGTATGATGCAGCATTTCATTTATTAACACAAAAATACCATGCATTTCTAGAAACACAACATTCACACCAAAGTAGAACTTCAAAACATTTTGTCAAGTCAGAATCTGCTCAGAAAACTTCTGGCACTTACATTGTGTACTCTTTATGCTATGTAATAAGAAAAGAAAAGGATTATAGAGTATAAGCTAAGTATAAGCATTATGTAGTAAGTATTGCTGTGCTGCAAAGAAATGCAACCAGCATCCTCCCCTCTTTGCCTCGCGAACACGCATTTATTTTTGAGTAAAATTAGTTTTTGTTTAATGTCAAAAATACTATAAAACCTCACCGTTTTTATGTGTTGCGGCTGTGCATTATCAGTAAAAACAAATTTTATATTTTCATCAGTGAAATCTGGAACTGTCGCAGTAAATGTTATTTTGGAACCACGTACAGCTGGGCCATTGTTGGTCAAAAACAGTTGCAATGGATACACTCCTAGAAAATAAAATACGATATTATCTTCCAATGGAAAACATTGGGTACTTAATTATGTATGTGATAAGGCAATAAAAATACTTACCATTTGCCAGAAATGCCAAAACAAATAACACGATTCTAAAATAATGGGCCATATTAGCGTGCGAAGAATTCGAAAATGTATTTCACTGTTACAAGAAAATTTCAACTCTATATAAATGTTTATGGGAAAAAGATATTAGATGCGTTCTTTCGTTATTTGTAACGTAATTTGTATAGTTTTTGCGTCGTCACTTATTCAATGGTGCTTTAGAAATGGCTTTTTTTCCTCTGCTTTTAATTTTATTGTTGACATTTGCATGACACAAATTGACACCATTGACACTTGACTTTATATTTTTTCCATTCGTTCCTTCAATCAATCGGCTAAGGTCGGACAGGGAACATACTGCCTAACCATAAGTAGTAGCTCATTGTAGAGGTCCATGCTCACTGCGTCATTGCTCATTGACTTGTTAATTATAGGTCAATTTGATGTCTGTGCATTTTATTATGTCAACTGTCACAAAAAATGTCAAGCTGTCAATTTTTTGAGAAGCAAACAGCAAACTTGCCAATCTGGTATTTTTTTTTTCAGTAAACTTGTTTTTCTGTTGTGTTGTGTTTGCTATTATACTTTCCAAATCTATAAATCGTCAATTTCAAGTGGTTAATTCCTAGGAACACCACCTAGTCGTATGATGTTTTGAAGTGTTAGATTTGTGCTAAATTAATTTGAAGATGGCTACCACCTTGTTTGATAGTCCCTTCATTCGACAACAATTGCATCGCTTGCGGCGGACTGATTTCGACCTCGATGAGGATCAAAGATTTGGTCGATGTGACTGCACAAGTTATTCCTACTTTGTGCTATCCATGGTACTATTTTCTGTAGGAACTGTCATTACCGTGCTCGCCTTGGGCGATGCCGATGGTTACATATTACACAATTTGGGACACATGTGGCTCGTTGGACCAATATTTATATGCTCTGGAATGATGGTTGCTGTGAAAAGCATGCTATATTTGCGAAGGAAAAGTGTAATCCAAATGCTCCTTCATCGACGCGAATTGATTCGTGTGAGTAACATATTTTTAAACATGTTTTTATTGCGACAGAAACTGTGGTTTCGTAGTATTTGAATTAAAACATCTAGTAGATAGTTTATACTAGAGCATGGTAATTATTTTGTTGTGTCCCTCCTTTTGAAACATCTATTATTATTTCACAGGACATGGCAATAGTGCAGGCTGAGCAAGCATACAGTGGACAAGTGCCTCGGACAGCATCCAATGCAACTCTACCTCCCTCTTATGATGCCTTATTAGCCAACGCGGCTACCAGCAAGCCTCAGCCGTCAAGCACTGAACCGCCTCCGCCCACTTACGATGAAGCCATGTACCTTATCGGTGATGACAAGTTTCAGGTTTCTAAAAATGATGACAGTGCCAAACAGGAGTCCAGCAACCAGTCAGTAGACAGTGCTGATAGCAGCAAACCTTAGGACCGATAAACCTTACATGTTTATTACTAGATATTTAAGAGTAAACTTAATTCTTCCTGTTTGTACTTATAATTTTATTCATAGTCACTATACATATTGTATTCTCTAATGTGCCTAAAATTTGAATTAGCAATGTTGTTGTTATATTTTATGTGAATTATGTGAGTAAAATTCCATTTCACTAAGAGCAATTTACAAGGAAGAATGCTACTTAGGCCTAATTCAAAAATAAAACAATGAAAAATTCTTGAAAATGTATACCTTGAAGTAGTATTTTCCTTGTAATTAAGAATAAAATGTTATTGGTTCTTGGTGGATGCTTGAAGGAAGTCTGAACTTAATTCTAATTAAGGAAAATATACCAACAAATGTGAAAGCTTTGTTAAAACATTAATATGTATGTTTCACAAGGAAAACCTATATTTACTACTAATAAGTTGTATTATTTAGACATTGAAGTTTATATTCATGATGTAAGTATATCTTTTTATAGAACCAAGATATTGCGAAATTTTATATGCTGTATTTTTCTATGTGAATTATCATTGTGAATTTATTATAGTAAAACATCTGTGCCTGTAATGTTGAATGAAGCTTATGGTTGTGTCCTTATATGGAATGCAAAATGCAATCTTGTTCATAGTAGTGCTAAATTACTTCTGCTGGGTGTTAACAGAAACCAGTGTTATGAATATAATGGATTATGATCTAGAAAACTAGGGAGAATACTATTTATTTGAGATAGGTGTTACTCCACTATTTGCTTTAAGTTTTTTATTATTAAGGATACTGATGAAGTCTCATTACATAGATTTTTCATAAGATGCCTCTCCAAAATTGTTAAATGTTGGAAAGACTGATGCATTTACCGTGAATGTATGATTAAATATGAAATGTTAGTCATTAACAAAGCTATGTATACAGGGTGAAGATTTAAAGAGGAACTACATTTACATTACAAGGGTTGCATGAACTAAAATTTCGAATTGACACTTTTGTCTCACCCAACATCAACAATTTCATTACACATATTATAAAAAGAATTTTCCTTTAGCTCCCATTAATTTTAAACTGGGAGTTAAGCCAGAGGCATTTTAACTGATGGTCCTTTTTCATTATTTTCCCTGATTATTGATTTTACTGTTTATTAGTCAACCTATTGATCATTGAAGTTCCCTATTGAGATAAGGTTTTACAATGACATTGTAAATTCTCATTTTACATAAAAAATAAAATAATATGTTTGACAAAGTAATAATATTAATTACCTACTTACTATAATTATTTTGCTTATCTCATAGGAGTTTAATGTACTTTAATTGCGCAAAAGTGTACTTAATATAAATCCAATCAAGTGCATTTTAATTAAACATTGTAATAGTAAAGCCTTATAAGACTTAAAAATATTGTGCCTTTATAAAAAAAATTGTCATGTAATTTTGACAAACCTATTATATTATTTAATTAATGATCAAAATAAATTACATACTGATAATAATTGAAAATTATTTTTTCTTAAGATCATGTTGAATGAAATTATTACAATTCTTTTGAAATCAATTTGAACCTGTGTTGTAACTTCTTTTAGGTATTGATACTTATTTTGCAAAGTATTTAAATGTTCCTCAACTTAATTTTGTTAGTTATTGTTTGCGAAAACCTTTGTTTTTATTGTAAACTAGCTTTCCGCCCGCGGCTTCGCGCGCGTGGACCACTGAACCCTATTTTTTTTTTTTTTTTCAAAATAAAATTTAGCCTATGTTACTCGTGGATAATGTAGCTTTCGAATGGTGAAAGAATTTTTAAAAACGGTCCAGTAGTTTTTGAGCCTATTCATTACAACCAAACAAACAAACAAAGTTTTCCTCTTTATAATATTAGTATAGATAAACTTTCTTTCATATGTGCTTATGTATTTTGATGAAAAATGCATTTAATTTTTTTAGCTAATTTTACTAACACTTCCAGAATGAGTTAAATATTTTTCTAACACTGCAAAATATCTGTTGCATCTTTCTAATACATTGTTTGCGTTATAGTTGTTTTTTTTATATAAGAATTACAAAGAAAAGCATAAAGCTATGAATCTATTGTGTATGTATCCAGATCAAATGTGATTTAGAAACAAACATACATTTAGCTCTGTTTAATGGATGTATGTAGCATACAGTCCCAGTGCAGTTACGTCACTAGCACTTCATTTATGATGTATGTTTTTCTCTAATTTTTTCTTAAAATGTTATTATAACCGATCTCCCTGGTATAAATAAAAAAAAACAGTTCTGTGTTGCTATCCTGTATTATTTATGTCAGCCTACCAAAGTATTTAGCTCTAAAACATGAATCCCTTAGCTGTGGCCACTGCACCACAATAATATCTGCAAAGTATTGAAGAATCTTTCCAGTTAGTGATAAAGTTCTTACTCTACAAATACTTTCAATGAAAACAATTCTGCAATTGATGAGGAACAAGCATCTCAACATGAAAGCAACAATACAAATTGGCACACAAGTACCAGGACCATTACAGAATATAATATCAGGTTTAAAATTGTACACAATTGGTATTGCTTGTAAAGTTGAATAAAGTGTGGTGCCAACTGATGACAAATAAGATTGGTTCACATTTCTGCTCCGAGGAATCCTTGTTAATGCATACTGTGTTGTTCCGTGTTCAGACTTGTGTATTTTGACCTCACTGCTGACGTCGTTTTCAGCCAAAATGTACATTCGTGGCTGATATTTCTCATGATCTAAGTTTTTAACAATTCTCAGTAATTCAGTTGTATGTCCACCAGAGCCAATACATAGCACAGTTCGCAGTGAAGATTCACTCTCCAATCTGGACTCGGTTGTAAATATTAGGCAAATTAAATAGATGGCTCTAAGAATGAGAGCCAACAAGGGAGCAAAGAAGAGTAGACAAAGAATCCAGAATTCCATTCTAGCAGCTTTCCTGAAATTAAAACAAAGTACATATTTATTATTTCTGTCTAAAACAAGTAATTTTAACCGTGAAATGCAATTATTTAAAACATAAAACAGGTGCCAAAGTTCTTATAACCCACCGGTGGTGTAAGCTATTTATATGTTATTGTTGAGAGAATTAAATAGATTCTTGAAATTGATAAAGATTCTGAGTTCTCAAACACGATTAATATTAGATTATAGCCATTTGTTTCAATATTTTAAAATTGTTTTGTAAACATTTCTTCAAATTCTCCAAGCATGACAGATTGACACTATTGACAGTGATAGATTCTTCTTCTTCTTTTTTGTTCTTGGCAATACTCGTCGAGGCCGACTTGATTTGTGCCATTTTCATGTGAGTGTGGGACGAGTTAAGAAGAGGGACCAAGTNCATTGTATCTGTGGCTAAACCACTATTATTTTTTATTATGACAGAATATAGGGTGTCCCTGCAAATATGGATAAATGAAACAAAATGTGTGATTGGATTGAATGGATTGATTCTACGGCTTAAATGCCACAACTTTCCCCAAGAGAAGGAAGTTCAAATCTTCCAAAACTAAAATCTCTACACTACATTAATATCATTCCGTTATTATCAGTATTTGTTTTTGCCTGTTAATAAGACCATTAAATTGTTCGCAAAAAGTCATTATGGTCATGGCCATGAAGAATGATGTCTCCTCTTCACGTCACGTTTGTTTGGGGGCTGTTTCTCGAATCTCGAGTGTCAGAATAATTAAGGTTGGCGCATATCATATCAATTCATCACTGTTATATTTTTTTTTTAATCTGGCAACATCTATATCTTTTCAGTGTCTCAATTTATAAAAAAAGAAAAATGATAGCTCTTTCTACCAATGAACGCTTAGCACAGGCACACATGAATCATCGTGATTGGTTTAAAAGCTGTCAAATTGTTCATATTGTTTTGAGTCGACAGATCCTTCTCTTCTTCTTCTTTTTTGTTCTTGGCAATACACGTCGAGGCCGACTTGATTTGTGCCATTTTCATGTGAGTGTGGGACGAGTTAAGAAGAGGGACCAAGTGGGATGGGACTTGGGCTTGGGCTTGGGATANATATAGAACCATTCATAATAACCGGTTATTATTAATAATTTTCAATTTATCACATTAACCGTAACATATACACTACCTACATAACAAAGTAGATTACGAGTGCGAAGGAAAAGTTACGGGTATGATAAAATTTAAGAAGCCTAAATATTTAATTTCTGGTCGAGAATCGAACCCGTTTCAAAACAAAACACACCTCATTATTATTTCTATGACCATCTATACTTTACTTTTCAAAGAAGTAAGGCCGTTCCTGTGTTGTTTTGTTATCTCACAAGCAAAAACTTCTGTTTGTTACATTGCAGCCATTTAAATATCTTCGCGAAGAAGTCGTATTTAAGTAGGTACCTACATTATTTATATCTAAATAAGTAAGCAATGTTTTATTTTAATTCCTGTACCTTATGGGTAATTTTATTATTTTCAGATGCTGGATAGACGGTGTGGATATCAACGACACGACAGCTGCATGGAACTCCTCAAGCATATTAAATGCTATACCAAAGACTGCAGAAGGACAACTTACAAGTTGTTTTATGTACGACGAAAACAATTCTACAGTACAGTGTTCAAAGTTTGTCTTTGATTCCACGTACAGAAGTTCGTCACGCGCCATAGAATGGAATTTGGTCTGTGATCGCAGATGGATGGGGGCTCTAGCACAAACCATTTATATGTTAGGCGTTTTCACCGGAGCCGTTGTTTTAGGAGGCATGGCTGACAAATACGGCAGAAAAAAAATATTCTGTTGGTCGGGAGTCTTACAACTTGTTTTTGGTGTGGTAGTTGCTTTTGTGCCTGAGTATTGGTCTTTCTTAGTTGTTCGATTTTTATATGGAATATTTGGCTCAGCTGGTTCCTATATCACCGGGTTTGTGTTAACCATGGAGTTAATGGGGGCGAGCAAAAGGACAGCCTGTGGCGTTGCTTTTCAAGCAGCATTTGCAGCTGGAATCATGCTCGTAGCCGGCTGGGGAGCTCTTATTGACGATAGGCAGCTATTGCAAGTTATTTACGGGCTACATAGTTTATTGCTAATCCCACATATTTGGATTATGGATGAATCTCCTAGGTGGCTTTGGGCTCAAGGTCGAGCCAAAGAATCAGTTGATATAGTAGCCAAAGCTCTAAAATGTAACAGGTCAGAACATACACTAGATAGAGCGGAATTGGTTTCCATAGGTAAGGTCGAAGTCTCCAAGGGAAATGACACTTCTTCTGCAGGCACATCAGATTTATTCAAGACACCCAATTTACGAAACAAAACATTAAATGTTTGTTTCTGTTGGTTTGCTAACTCAATAGCATATTATGGACTAACATTAAGTACAGGAAAACTTGAGGGTAATCCATACCTAATTACAGCCATCTTAGGATTCGTTGAATTTCCCAGTTATGCAGCGGTTATTTACTTCCTTGATATTTGGGGTAGAAGGCCATTAATAAGTTTAATGATGATCGTTGGTGGAGTAGCGTGCATAGGGGCAACTCTCATTCCTGCGGGAAGTACACTGTCGACTGCAATTGTCATAGCTGGAAAACTATTTATTGCTGGTTCATTTGCTATAATTTATAATTACTCTGCAGAGTTATTCCCCACTGTGATTCGTAATTCTGCATTAGGATTAGGATCTATGTGCGCTAGGCTTTCCGGAGCTTTGACTCCATTGATAACTTTATTAGACTCTTTTAATCCTAAAATTCCTGCAGTAACTTTTGGATTAGTAGCGCTTATATCCGGGTTTTTGTGTCTATTATTGCCAGAAACTAATAATCAACCCATGCCACAGACATTGGAAGACGGAGAGAATTTCGGTTTAGGGGATACGTGCTTCACCACTTGTATGGGTAAGAGAAAGAAAAATAAAACGTATTCAGTGGAAGACAAAGCCGCAGCTGAAGCAATGGTTCCTTTAGAAGGCATGAGTAGAAAAGCCTAACATGAAATATTAAGTTACTTAGATCTTTCAAAATTATCTCAGTTAAAAAATTATTGAATTATTTTTGTGAACAAATATTGAGTTATTGTGATATTGTTGAGTCAATATTATATCAAAATTGTTATAAGTGCTATTATAAGTAAAATGAATGTTTCATAATAAATGTGCCTGCGATGTTTTGTGATAAATTGATACTCTAAGTGCGTATGTAGGTACTAGTTAACATGGTAAGAAACTTGTTTTTAGTCTTTGGCAAGCAGTTTTTTTGTTTGTATCGACGTTTGTTTATATCAAATGTAGAGATACCTATGAAAAGTATAGTTGATAACTCTATTTTGTATATAAAATGTACATAACTATTTACCAAAATAAAATTGATTTATTGACACCTATGTCTTTTGTTCCTGTAATGCGTACTAGGTAATCAAGGAAAAAGCAATTTTGAAACGCAATAATTATATTTATATTTACATTAAACAATGAGAATTTAAATCACAGTGAGATTTAAAAACATCGATAGACGATATTACATGTATGATCATCTAAAGTTTAATAAGATAACAGGAAGTTAACATTGAATTGTATTAGTAACTACTAATAATTAAAGAGATAAGTAATGGGTATAATTTCACAACACATTTTATTTGATTTAATATTTTTTATACATACAAATCTTTTGTTTGGTACGTAGGTTATGTGTTTTTGACAAAATTGGATGCTTGTAAATATAACTAAAAAAGAGCTAGATGCGTCTTGAGTTATGTAGTACATTGTACGTACCTACTACCTAATGTCTGCTTAAAAGTAGTTAGGCACTAATCTACGTGTCGAGAAGAAAACCTTCGCTGAGATCGATAAAAATATCCAAAATATTAAACAAGGGAATTGGGATACTTATAGGTAAGGTAAATACTACCGATACCGACCAAGAAATACTTCGAGGTCAATTAATTTTACTGTATGAAAGTTTTGGATTTTAGATTTGAAGTTACTAAGTAATAACAATAACAAAACAGGTAGGTATAATAACAAAATTTCTAATCCTTTAGTTAAGTTATAAAGGTCTGCTGCCATGAATTTACCCATATTATATCTTATGTAGAAAGTGTTAAATTGTTGATTTTAAATAGATCCAAAGTTTACTAGTTAGGTAGCGAAAAAGAACGTGTGATACATAATTTATTCGTAAGTAGTAATTCAATACATTTATAGGTTAGTAAATATGACGAACTTACATGATGTTGCAACTTGCAATGCATCTAGTAAATTGATTACAAAAACTACCATAACAATTTTATATTACATATTAACAAGCATGCCAATTTATTAATATTTATATACGGGACACGTGTTCGTCGAACAGTATAGATGTGGCATAGAGTTAAATACTAAAAAAATAACAACGAGGTAGGTAGCCGTAACTAATAAATTGAAACGGATTGCAACCGTCAAATCAGATATACTACTACTACGACTACCTGTGTACCTACCATGAGTTTACCTGAGCCCCGATTACGGTAACTTTTAACGTCTACAATTCAGACGCGTTTCTGATTCTGCAATACGATTGGTCAAAACAGCTGACGTACGCTGTTGAACGACCAATCGTATCGCAGAATCGAGAAGCGTGTCTGGATTGTTGACGTTAAAAAATACCGTAATCGGGGCTCAGTACTATTACTTATTCTGTGGTTAGGTGTGCTCGCTAGCGAATACGTCAAAAATCTCTATGAAGATTTTGTTTCTTGAAAGTAGCCGCTAGGGGCGCTGCACAATATGTCATACAATTAATGACATTTTTTTACGCAGTCGCTAGCGAGCACACCTAACGTAAACTCATGGTAAGCACACTGTATAAAAGTCAAGTAAAATATAAAATTAGTCAAGTATGGACGTAAATTATACCTACTAAAAACGCGAATGCTTACGTTTCAGTGTATATGAAATGAAAAGTTCCTTATTTTAATCAATAATCAGATCAAGATAAATTAACTTCTTCTATCATAAAGCCCCTGTAAAACGGAATATAGCAAAATCACCGCACATAAACATCGATATTAAAATCATTATTTTTACATGAAATGAGCGTAAGTATTATAATATTGAAATAAAATAAATATAACGCCCATCGATAAATAATAGTAAAACTTGTGTATTTAATGTAAACAATCTAATTTACCACAGTACATTGATTTAGAAATAAATTATTTTTGACAAATCTCTTTTTCGAGCTTATTTTACCACTGAACTATTTAAATTGTTTAGTTCTTTTTTTTCTTAATAGCACAAAAAACCTTATCAGTCCTTCATTGAATGTGTTAATCCACAACTACCTGTCTAATTTATAGATTTGATAGAGGTATTGGTAATGACAAAATTATTTTAGCATTTTGATATGTCTGACTAGAAGATTTCTAGGTAGTCACAATAAAAAACATAATTGTTACCAAAAATGTAATTGCCAATCACATAGTTTTGGAAATTAAGCTGCTGGGTCTAGTGTAAATAAGTTAAGTAACAAATAAATTAATTAGCTTTGCCTGCATAACAGTTGACACTAATTTTGCTCCTATGCAAAAATAATTTCTTAATTATTTACAATTTTTAAAAATATTTTGTGATTAATTCACATTACATATCACAACTTTCTATACATCTACTATTTAAATTTTGTATGAGTCTCAAAAATAAAATGTTATTTATTTCATTATTTATCTACACAAAAACTGGTAGGTAGTTATACTGGTACTGGGGCGGGGGTACCGGTAGAGAGAGATATTAAGGATTTCAAAACGTCTAATTAATAGATAAGCACACAATAAATGAAGTTTGTTATTAAAATTATCAGGTGTTTTAAATCTAAATTGTAATTTTATCATAAGTGTCAGAGATTCCTTATTTCTTTGTTGTGTAGTAACAGAGTCAGAACAGATATCAAAATAAGTTACAATAAAGGAGTTCATGGTTATTAAGATGCTTAATCAATACCAGCTTAGATGTTATTTCTTCAGTAGATAAATATTAAGGCCCTGTTTCACAATCACTGGTCTATGAGAAATGTAAAAGTCTCCAAATAACTTAATCAAAATATCAAGGAAAATGTAAAATTATGGTCATAAACAGGTAAAGGTAAAATTATGGTCATAATTTCCTATTTATAATATAATATGTATTAGAATCTTACGTGTAGGTATATCCATATTATTTTACATTTAACATTCAGTTCACATTTTTAAATTTAAATTATATTATCTAAGCTTAATGCAGTTATGAATTATTCCCAAGTAAAATGTTTATATTTTAGTACTTTGCAGATATTTAATTTAACAAACAGGGCCTTTGATTTCCAAAACATAATAGGAACATAATTGAAATTTATTTCTAGTTTGTAGACCTATGTCATTGTATAGATCCAGTAAAGCCAAATATCATATTAAGTTGTAAAGCAAAATTTAATATTGATGGATAAATTAAGTATTACACTATACAAGCAATGTTCCATTCAAAAGTACTTGATTAGAATAAAATATAGCACCAATTACATGTTAATATGTTGAAATTAAAATAATAAATTAGCAAAACCTAACGCATCTATTACTTTTTATTAGTATTTTTAGCTCCCATGAGAAATGTGGATCTTTGGCATCACAATAGGTCACACAATTGACATTGTGATAATAAAAAAGCATTCATACAACTACTCTAACTCACAAATTCTCTAAATTCTTTAAAAAGGCATATCAATACTCTGGACAGCGAGTATGGGGGAGTGAACAACCGACATGTGTTGGTCCTCCGTTTTCTGCTGACAGTGCCGTGTGCACAATGATGGCTGGCTGGGTAGGTGTGGGTGCATGGAGCTCATGGCTTTCTCCTGGGGCTAAGGTTGCCAAGGCTGCCAGAAGGTCATGATTAACTATAGGCTCACCTTCTTCCCGGGGCTCCCATCCAACAGGCGGGCTTGACGGCGGCGATATGAGGAACTGTTTTACTGGCGCAGGAGGTCTAAGGTTTTTTAATGACACTGGAGTAACGGGCTGAGCGAAATAACAATTGATGCACGAATTATGGAACTGGTATTGATGTAGCTGCACCCGTGCATTAGCCGCAGCTAGTGGGCTATCGTAATTTACTCGCAAGCGTCTGAAACTGCGGAGCCACTGAAATGTTACGTTATCTGAAAATGTTCGGAAAAGATCCTCCATTTCTCTCTTTAGTTTTTCGTCAGCAAAAATATTGCTGTGTATATTAGTAACGATGACAGACTTCGGTAAATCATCTAAATCATCGATTTCTTCGTTGCCATCACTTTCTTGCTCTAAATTGACGATGTTAGGATGAATATTAGGCATACCATCTTCGGGGTTGATGTAGACGTTATCATCCTGGAATGAATCATCCTCTTCTTTATGATCCATCGAAATATAAATTAAATGGTTAACAGTACTGAAAATATGTCCTTTTGTTTTGAATAAATTAAGCAAATCCGAACAAAATTATTTTTATTGTTATTATTAATGACACTGACAGATGACAGACACAATGACAGAGACGAACGAGACGAACATGACAGCAGATTTCTTCTTCTTCTTCTTTTTTGTTCCTGGCAATACTCGTCGAGGCCGACTTGATTTGTGCCATTTTCATGTGAGTGTGGGACGAGTTAAGAAGAGGGACCAAGTNGATAAAAAAATAAAAAAAATTATTCGCAATTAGTAGCTTCATCTGCGATATTGATGCTTGATGATGGTTTATGCGTATTAATTCCATTCGTTGAAATATTTTAAAGAGGAAAGGTTTGGTTGTTTGTATATCTGTCACCATTAGAATCCTACATTATTTCTGATAAACATAGGCGCTATGAAATTCGCCCGGTCACCTTTAATGATATAATAATAATGATATAAATACCTACAAACCATATAAAAAACAATGACAATAGGCAAAATAAAATTAGTCTAGCATTGGGAAAACAAGCGACAATCGAATAAATGAGTGATAATCGAGAAAGAAGAGAGGAGATAAGGAAAACATGTTGTATTAGGGAAGGAAATGAGGACGTGAGTGTGTTAGGGAAACAATTGACCATCGGAAAAAAGTATTTGGATCAGGAAATGATTTTCATTTATTTTTTTTACTTTTAGTCCGGTTAACCCCTCGTATTAACTAAATATGCTCCTGTAACAAGTGAGTATAACACCATAGTCCAGCGGTAGCGGGGTTCCAACTAGCGTTCCTTGGATCTCGAGTCGGCCAGTCCGACGCCTTCAACGTTCGGCTATTGTCGCTTAAACATTATTCTTTTTTTAACCACAACGAGGTACTTACCTACTTAGCATTTTGACATTCATCTTACCTGAAGGAAAGTAATGTTCAGGCGAAAAATTGGAAGCGAGAGCTCGCCTTCTTTTTTTTTATCTTGAAAGACACTGATTTTCACATGTGCTTTATTAGCACAGCCAAACCCTTTTCTGTAGATTCATCATAATTTTCTCTTATTTTCGCTGTCGTAACACACCATACTTGAATAAAATAAATAAGAAAATTTTATTTCGCGCTGTATTAGCTGATGGCGAGGACAAATTGCAGACGTTACTCACAAAATAAAGAATACAAATGCTCATCCCAGTGTCTCTCCTTCAAACTGCGGTGGATATGTATGAGATAGGGCAGAGTCCTGTGAGACCCTTTTAAGAATAATAATATTCGTAATTTGTTATTTTTGAGGCTTAAGCTAAGGCCACAGTTAGTCCTACATTTAAGATGAATGCTGCTGGGATATCGTTACGCTAACTAAAATCTGCCAAAGAAAACTGCGTTTTGAGTAAGGTTTAAGGCATTTCAAACTAAATAGTAACGTCATATTCTCTCATTTTATTTCATCATCATTTCAGCCACAGGACGTCCACAGCTGAACATGGTATCCCCCAATAATTTCCATATCGCACGGTTGGTAGCGGCTTCATTTTATACCATCCTGCATCTCATTTAACATCATGGTGTGATTACTGTCAAATACTTGATTTTTTATATTGTCTGATTTTTTACCGACTCTACACTACCTGAAGATTGTAACTGCAGAATTGTACTAAATATAAAGAACCTACTAGCTAAGTAGGTATGATGGCGAGGAGGAAAAGGGAAGCACAAAAGATCCCAAGGGTCTGAGTGCATTGCGGAAAAGCATGGTCAAATAAAGATAAGATACGGAAAAAAAACTGTACAATTTGTTTGGTCTAACAGTTCGCTCTTTTGAAAAAGAGCAATTGAATTTTTAGGTAGTCTACTATTCTTGTAGATCTGATGGCAATTATTAGATACTGAAAATACCAATATACCTAATATATTATTACAATTACAATAATTTTAATACTAATTAAAAATACTCCCATTCACAAAAATGTTTACGTTCGTTTGTTTTGGTTCGTCAAATCTTTTTTCGGCGCGAGTGCCGCAGATTTTCTTTGAAATCTATTTTCAGTGAGCGAGTTTGACGGCTCGTTGAGTTTTGTGTACTAAAATTAATAGGCACTCTTTAATAATATGAGATATGGGACATTTTTCGTATAAAAGTAAGTAGGTAGTTAGTGAAACTCAGAAATAGTTTGAATGACTGTTACACATAGTGCTAGGTACTCTACCACTTATTATTTGTGGCAATTTATGTCATATGCGCATGACTATAACATTATCGTTGCCGATTTTTTTAAATTATTAATAGGGTTTGTAATCCCAGCAGTTCAATAACTAATTACTTATTCCTACACCAACAAACCAAAATCGAATTAGTTTGTTTAATATTTACTTCTTACGATTATGTATCATAAAGCCTAATGTTGTTTCTATACACAGAAATCTAAACTTTGATTTATGGTTCCTTAGCGAAACCGAAAATATGTTTTTACTGAAAAATGGTTTTCCAACAGCTATTTCATATGTCAAAAGTTATCATACATACCTACTTAGATATTTGGAAAAACTAGTGATTGATCCCACAAATGAAATCTATTTTGGTTATGGTATACATTGCGTGCACTACACTACACGCGCTATTTTTTTTATAAATTATATCCTTGGACATTTTACACTGTGCCTCTATTCCCAAACTAAGCAAGGCTTATACTATGGGGACTAGACGACTATTGCACTTTAACCACGACCAGTGGCCAGCCTAATAGACAATCTGCACTGTAACCGTATATCCACTGCTGACATTTACCGCTCATCGGTTTTCCATTGATTAGTAATCTGGAACGCAGTGGTTCACTCGATTGAGTAGTGCGTTGGATTCTGTGTCATAGGATTTCAAATTACTACCAACATTCCTAGAAATGTTAACTTTCATATCATTTTACTCTTTCTTTCAAATATTTTCATCTAAAAGCAGACCTAAATATTCCCACGTTAAATCCTTTTTTGCGTTAAATAAATTAATATTGTAGATAGTTTTCTTGGAGACCAGAGTTTGCTGGAAATTCCGACCAAGACATTTTTATATCGCTGTATCGCCTGACAGCTACATATTCCGACATGAGCAGCCAGTACACTATAAATTACTAGCTAGAGCACACATCTGCTAAAGTCCGGTCGCTGAGCAGATAGAATTTCGTACAATGACCCCAAGCTACCCATCCAATTCGCTTGCGCGTAATGCAAAAAACTCTAATAAACGGTACTTAAGGGACCGACCGACGATTTTTGACGTATAACGTGTGTGTTGTGACGTATAAGTGGTCGTTAAATGGAGTAAGACGGTAAAATTCAAGGTAAAACAACAAAGTCAAAAAATATCGTCGTTATAAGGGGTTTGTCGTTAAATCGAGTAATGTTATAACGAGTTTACACTGTATTAGTATTGATAGAGACGAGGGTGATAAATGACCTGGCTGTTCTAATAAACTATGGCACTAATATCGCCAGGCCATAAATACAGCAAAAGATTTCGCATCGAATATTCCTCGCTTTAAGAAGGAGCGGTAACGACTTTTCATTCAATTTATAGTGCAATTTGTTCTAATTTGCTTGTTTTCTTAATTTGATTGTCAAATTGTACCTTTTTGGTTTAGTGCTTTTTACATACCTACTTAAGTAGGTGCTTATGAACAGTATGGTATGGATATGGATGTATGGAAGTCTGACTGTATCTTTACACTGAATTTTGATAGGACAGACCTACAAAAGAATATCTATATTTCGCGTTTGGTATGGATATAATTTGAGACCCTGGGGAAAAATATTCTTCTTCTTCGGTCCCTCACTGATAAAGATCGCGACCACAGATAGTGTTCCTCCACAGACTGCGGTCATAAGCTGTGTGGACCGCACGATGCAAAATCCCGCCCACCGTCTTCCTCACCGCGTCCGACCATCTTGTCGGTGCCCTGCCAAGTGCCAACCCTATCTACCCTGTCGGAAAAATATTGGATTGTTATTATCCCAGTTTTTCAAACGGATACATGTGTGCGTGCGATAAAGCGTTCTATGTTAAATCAAAGCACACACGAGTGAAGTCACGGGTCTAAAATAAATATTTGTAAACCATCATGAAAAATTCGCAAAATAAGGATCGGAAACCACCAGATTTTTTTCAAAAGTGTAGTTAATCTGTGAAAAAATGAAACAAAGGCATTCAATATATAAATTTTTAACACGTCCCATTTTGTATTAAGGCTGAATCTTCACGAGCTTACTCAGCGCATAAAAGCCTTATTCTGTAGCTTTTGTACTGTAAATAAAAATTCTCGTTCCGTTGCCGATGTTGCCATAGGCATTCCAGAACCAATGTGGAACGTACTAACAATGCTCATATACGAGGTAATCAAAACAAATAAAAATACATCACATTCCTGAAGGTACATTACCTTGGATAATTTTATTACAGGACTGGACTACTTTACTTTACTCACTGTATAATTAAATTATATTTCTTAAATTTTGTTTTGTGGCTATCAAAACCTCAAGCCTTTCGTGCCAATGTCAAGTTAAAATTAGTAGGTATACTTGAACAAAAGAACATTGTTATTTAGTTCTATTGTTTTTCCATGGCTTCCATACAGAATTATTTTTTCATAGCAATTTTTTTTGCTTCTTTCTTTCAAAGCCAATAAAACCTAATTAAATTAATAGGGCTGAAAACGTGTTCTTTTGCACAGTTAGTTCAACAATTTAGTTCAGGCCGTGACGACAGATGAGGCAACTTTTAATGGTGTGGTTGAGGGACCTTGCTCCTGACAAGGGCTTTCCAAAAAAGTTCTTTTAGTTAGTGAAATACCTACCTACCAATGTGTATACAAATATGGCTTACTAAATTGGGTGTGTTCCTCTATCCAATTTATGAAAAAGACTCGTCAGGAGAGCTGTTAAAAACTATACAAAACACTGCGCGTCGTCGGTTGCTTTAACTAACGTCAAATCACGAAAAAATATGATAATTTATATTAATAACGACATTATTTTTATACAGTAGAATCCGTTTAGTACGATGTCGCTTAATTATAGCGACCGACCACTTTTAACGAGGCATATTTTTGATTTGGTTGGTTGTTTG